TCGAACGATTGAGATTCGGCTTTATTTACATGGTTGTTCACCTCGCCAAACTTATGCCTTCCGATAATAAAGCAGATAGATATACGTAATCGACACAAAGCACGGATCGTTATAACTCGTACGCGTTTCTATTGCCGTTGAGAGCGATAACTCGAAAACACATGCGTCTACATCGTGCTCAGCTATAGTCTCGAATGCTTTGGCGAAGCGTCTTATTAGCGAGCAAACCCGGTGCTCTCGGCCAAACTCAATTGGCCAAGACCCCCGCGAGACGAGTCATTTCGACGAGTAGCTGCTGTCGACCGTGGCGGCACTTCCCTGTGCGAATTATAAATATGTATGGGGGAGGGGCACAAGATCATCAACGTCCTAAACAAACTTGGCCTCTGGGGAATTAGAAGAAAGCGAAGGATGACGCAGTTGCTTGCTGCAGAAGCGAGAAAGCTACGTGTATCGTTCGTAATTTTCCGTCGCTCCCTGTGCCAAGCCAAGATCTGTGTAGCTATCTGGGTACGAAGCTGAGCGTGTACGACCGAACAAGCTGCGAGGCAGAAGCGCTGCTCTGCGCCCCCTTCCACAAAATTCTCGATAGACCTAGTATTTGTTCTCGCGCGCTGCTACTGGTTGCCTCTGCTTGATACCATACGCATCGATGAAAACATTGACAGTCTAATGCCGGGTTAATGCCAGGTTAATGCCAGGAATTTCTCAAAGCTTATCGACGCTTTTCTCGTTACGCACGGCGGTTCGGCAATTATTTTTTCCGACCGAATCGAAATAAAACGAGATAAACGTCGCGGCAACACTCATAGATGACAGAAATACACTTGACTAAATAGCAGAAGGTGAGATTCGTTTTCGCAGCGAGCGTAAGTTTGCGCTGGTTTTCGAATGAGGCAGCTGAACAAGAACGAAAGCTGTTTGAATGTTCATAAAGCTTTTGTTGGAGACGCTCGGCAACTGTATAAGGCTTTTGTCGCTCTAACTTCCGCGCACGCTATACTACTTTAATTAACTCGACAATTTCGTGCGTTACATGAGCGCGCTTCGTATTCATGACTCGCTTGAATATCAGACTGCAAATTGTGTCGAATTCTGATACGCACGGCAGAGCCATTGACGTTGAGCTTTTCGTTGATCAAATTTCGATGCTGCATCAACTTTTTTCACTCGTGCAATATTCGCGGCACGCGATACACGCACGAATAAAAGAAACTCGACATTTGCTAGTGTTGATAGTATATAAGAGCAATAATCCAATTTCGAGTCGGGAAAGCCAGGCGTGCCTTAATGCAATATGTAAGAAACTTTACAAGCTGGCCATACGAGATTACATGTTTCTCGAGTACGATCGGGAAAGACCCACTTTTCAGATGTAGACCATTTAAAAAGAATTTATCTATATCAGTAATTTCAATATTTTCTGTCAGATAATGGCTTAGCTACTCGGCTCGCTCAAATATTGTCACAGTAATTATTTAAAGTATTCTTCGCATTAAACATTATTATGTATACTACCGTAAATCAAGCGTGTAATCGCTTTTTTATCATATTTTACTGTACGCCTTGAAAATAAATTGTAAACACTCGTTCCTGAAGAGCTCAATGTTGACAACCTGAGTGTGCAAAGAAAAATATAGAATTCGCTAGTTTAAAGATATATTGCAACAAATGCACATTTTCGAAAGAACTGTTGTTGGTTTCAAAGTAAATCAGTATATGGATGACCTTACCAGTGGAACAAGAGGAACTTCCGATTTATCGTAAAGAAAGTGTTTATTAATTTGGCTCACTTTCAAGGTAGGCGCGTCCTCGAGAGTTCATATGTAATATCAAATATAAAAGAACGCCACCAGGATAATGTCTCTTAAACGTATCAGGAGGCAAGCTAAGAGGAAAATCGGAAATAAAAAACAACAATAACGTTTAATACTTCAAGTTACAGATCAGTAAATAACTGCCAAAACAAAATATATGTCATACCAAAGTACTTAATGCAATTAGTAACGGCTTGCAAAATACATATCCTATCTACATGCTTTTCTAAGTTCAAACGTACGACAAATTGATTATTCGGCTAAAGTTACTTCACTCACTTGAAAGTAAAGAAGTAAAACCTTCGGAAAACCTTAAAAATATAAGTTTAATTTTTAATTTTATCAACTTGTCTTTTTGATATATACAAAAGTAGATTGGATACTAAAGAGATTGCTCATTCAGGTAGCCGTTATTTATATCTATTATATTTTTTATATTTACACGGATGAAAACTGAGTGATTTTCAAAATGCACTATAATATTCAAAATAACTTCCATCTACATATTTTATATGTTAAAAAAAAATTTTTATCTTTTTGTTCTCATGTCTGACTCATACACATACATTCCAACAAGAATTTTTTGAAAAGTGTCCATCGCTCCGCTGTAGCTCAAATAATCAGATGACGGTCAATTCAGAAGCAACTTCATTTAAAATTAACGTGAAATATATTTCAATTAAAATTTCGATAGCTTAATCCATATTGCCTCTTTTAAAAAAGTTTTAATTTGAAGACCAATTTTATATATGTAATTTTATTGGGAATCGAAAGATATAAATACGTCAACATGCATACGTGTGCACATTGGAGGTCTTTTCCTTCGTTAGCTACGCGTTCGAACCCTGGGGAAATAATTGATTTTATATTTGAGTTACATATTGAATTTAATCCGCGAATTCATGAGCTATACATAATAAATTTGAAAAATGTGAGAAGCAAATATCTAACAAAAAAGGTGATGAAATTATTTTATTTACTTACGATTTTTTTATTTTATTTCTTGTCATTTTAAGATAGATAAGAATAAGAACGTACAACAAAATTTACAAAATGACAACTGGTTTTTCATGAATATTCTGTTACAAAAATCACACAATGATGGAACTTTCAGGGTATCAAAGAGTAAAGTTTTCAAAACAAAATATGCTTGGTCGTGTTTTCTTGAAATAATTAGAAACCATTAGGCAACATAAAATTAGAAAAAAAATACAAAATAACTTTAAGGGTATGTAAATTTGTCAAAAATGAAATTATTTGCTTAAAAAAAATTATGCGGGTGCATTAAATATACCAGAATGCATATTCATTTGAATTTTTGAAAAGTTAAAAAATTTGTTTAATCAATGTTAATAATATTTAAAAAAAGTTGATCTTAACAATGACAAGTCATACAAACATGAGACATGGCTTAAAGAATCATAAATAAATCATAATTTTTCCCAAAAGTTCAGTTGAATTTGTTAACATTTAAGAGATAATTTGTTGACTTTTGAGAGCGAGAAAAAGTTAAACGAAATTTTGTGTAAAGTATCTTTGCCACTGCACATAAATACAGCGATGTCGCTTCTCCGAATGAATGACGTGTGACGCCGGCTCTCTTCGACCTTGCCCAACCATTCATAACTTTCAGTTTGATAACTATGAAAATATAACTTTTTGTATCTTGTTAAAATGTCGATTAACCTTTTTTTAGTTACAATCTTGGAATTTTCAGCTTTGCAATAAAATTTGGACGGTAACAATCCTACTAGTTTTCGTTTTTTTTTTTAATTTTAATTACGTTCAATCGTAACTATATTGCAATATAAAATTACTTAACTGAAATAATACATATTTCAAAGATAAATCTCTGTTCCTTTTTTTGTTTGTATTTGATTACACCAATTTTTTACAAAATTAAATATTCTTTAGAAATAATATATTTTGACAATACAAACATCTTCCTGTTATTAATAAATTTAAAATATACAGCAATCTTTATAAACATGTTTAACAAAATTATAAACAAATGATTTATTTATGATTGTTTAAGCCATGTCTTATGTTTGTATGACTTGTCATTGTTGAGATCAACTTTTTTTTTATATTAACATTGATTAAACAAATTTTTGAATATTGACTATTTAATGTACCTAATGTCTCATTTTTTCCAATCAAATAATTTTATTTTTGACAAAATTACAGATTATATATTATTTATTATAATAATAAATAATATTATTATCTATTATTATATATTTGAAGAATACGCAACCAAACTTATTTTGTTACCGAAACCTTACGTTTTGATGCCATTATTATGCAATATTTTTGAGTGTAGTTTATCAGTGCCTTTATCATTTTTCAACTGATATATAGTAGTGTTGCTTTCCCGTAGTACACAGTAGTCATTGTACTCAATTCATATCGATTCAAGGTCGATTTATGTTTCTTAGTAATATACACAAACTACGTTGTTAGAGTCAATAAATCGGCTATATTCTTATAACCAAATTAATTCGTAGATTTGTGCGATGAAAAATTTTACTCATTTTTTTTCTAACTAACATACATTCATCACTGATTATTTAGAAAAATTAAATTTATTTTACAAAGGCTTACGAGCATTATTAACATACGCATATAGTTTCAAGGATAAATATAATGAACTTGAAATTTTAGTTTTAATTTAGCAAACTGAATTTTATATGATAGAAATTTATTGTTGACTTTGTTCAATTTGTGATGTTCATATGTACAATTAAATTACATACAGAGCTAACTAGCTATAACTGTGTAATAAAATGATGTATATTATATCAAAGAGCAATATATTCCAAGTCATATTAATTGTTTTTAAAAGTGATTGAATGGAAAATTATATATATGATAGATCAGAGTTTGATAAAAAATAAGTCTCATGTAAATAAATAAATTACTCTGGATGGGTCTGTTTTTCATACAAATATTTCATACAAAAAATGGGGGAAAAAAACCTTCTCAGTAAGAAGGAAAAAGCCGTAAGAGAATGATATAATGGAAGATTCTACAAATGAATTATAAATTTAGCTAAATTTATCATAAAGGTACAGAGATCGCTGCCTTGAAGCACTGGACACTAAACGACAAGGCTCGGACAGTCTTTACAAACGCGGGTTACAGTAAATGGTTATACGTGGATGTTCGATTGAATTTTCTTACCTTGCCCAAACGATGCGTAAACAGAAACACAGGCGGATGAGAGACGTTTCGGGTAAGCAAACGCTTATCAGAGATGGGGCAACCCTCGCTGCAATGACGCTAATGGAGCCGGTTTGTGGCTCTATGTAGTGCAACACCCCAAAGGAGCGCGTTCGTCCTCTACTAGCGTCACAGATTACGTTCAGTCGACGGATCACAAGTCACACACCCTGACAATATTGCGCACAAGGCAACTCACGCACTCACAAAATTAAAGAAATAAGCGGGAGCTCGAGATCGTGGTAAGTCGCGTTGGCAAGTCTCAACTGACGATAGACTCCCGGTCGAAGTGGCAGTTCTCGTCTAATCTCTGCACGGAAAATGCGACAGTTTGACGAATTCCCTTTCCTCCTTCGAGGCCCACCTCGAGAGCCAATCAGAAGTTACCGGGGCGGTGCGATGTGCAATGCACTCGAAGGTTGCGCAGATCGTCGGCTACCTAGGAGAGGGTCGACGCGGGCGACCCTTCTTTCATGGCTTTGTGGAATTTCGTATTTGCGACTTAATTGCTTGGTTGTTTGGGTTTTTCTCAGCTGAGCCGAGAAGAAAAAAAAAAAAAAAAACAGATGTTCGCGCGTATGGCATCTCTTGCTTAATAAAGTGGACATGACTTTCCAATAGGGCAATAAATCGTGTATTCAAAACGAGCAATAGCTATTGAGGGTTTGTTATTAAGGGTTGGTACAAAAAAGAATTAAAATGTGCCTTTTCGTAATACATGGTCCGCAGATGTCTGAAAATTTGGCAGAAAAGTTTTAACAGCCAAAATAAAATAATAAAAAACAGCGCGCGTCTAGTCTATGATTTGAAACGGCAGTGAACACGAGCATTAATGATACTTTAATACCCAACCCAATCCAACCCTTCAAGTCATATTGATGACATGACTTGAATGGTATTATTTACATATAAATATAATATATAATTGTGTGTGTGTGTATATATATATATATATATATATATATATATATATATATATATCTATATATATGGGACGATCCATGTCAACCGGATCACTGCTGTGTCCAAAATTTGATGTGACCAAAAAAATCGTACAACGACTCATTTTAAAGCTTAGGATATCTACTTTCTGATGCTGTGTGCGCCTTTGCAAAATCCAACATGGCAGCTCCAATATGGCGGCTACAAGAGACAAACTCGTAAACAAAAAATTTTATTTTTCAAATTTTTAGTAATAAATGTTAAAAAAATTAATATTTCATATTTTTTTATGAAAATCTGGCTCATTTCCTACAAAAAAGTAACAGAGACCATTTTCGCTAAAATGAAAAATAAAAGAGTTATAATTTTTTGAAAATTTTCAAAAATAAAAAACTTTGCGATTTTTTTACTCAGAAGGAAATGACTTTGGAAAAAAACTTTAAGGAACAAAATTGCTTGAAATTCATCAAAACACAAGTGTGAATTTTTTCGAATTCCTTTGAACGATTTTTTGCTTTTTGGATTTATCGGATTGTTTGAAAAATTAAAAAACTTCCCAAGATCTTTTACAAAAATTCATACGTAGTCTACGACTAATTCTAAGAGCTTTTTATTTTATAAGATTGTTCAGTAAAGGCGATCCTTTTTGAGTAAATCGAAAAAGTAACTTGGACCGCTAGACACCAACCAGATAACCCACGCAAGCTCAGGAGAAGGTGTTTATAAATAAAAATGTAAGAAAACTAACCCCAAGCTATTAAACCCGCGTGCCCAGGGGCAGCAATTTTTAAATTATAATGAGAATAAACTAGCGAGGCCAATAACCAAATAACCCACACAAGCTATGAGGTAAACTGTTTGCAATTAAAAATTCAATAAATTATAACCCCAAGGCGTTAAACATGTGTACCCGGGGGATAGCTGTTTTTAAATTATACTGGGAATAATTCAGTGGTTAGATATGGTGTAAGGTATTGTCCAATTCATGTATAACTGTTGTTAATTCTAATATTGTATTATATCCACATTATCTTTTGCAGCCGCGTAGCGTTTTACTATCAATTTATTGTCAGTATTTGGAATAAACTCATGGCTACTTTGAATCTTGGTTACAGCAGGTGGGTTGGGGAATTTTCTTTTTAATGTATCAGATAACCTCTTATGTTCTTCTTTTGTATAGTAAAGAAATTGTATGTTCTTGAACTTTTCCTTAGCCCATTTAAAGAGAGTTATAGAATTTAATATAGCATTTTTTGGTTCAGCTTGTAAGCTATATCGGGTTGCCTCACTCTTCAAAGAAGCACCTAGTCCATCACAGATGCATTTACCATGAGACGTTGCATAACAGTGCCATTCCGCATCAATTTGAAAATCAGTCTTGTGATGGGCAAGGTGCATCATTTGAGTTCTATTCTTAAAATGTTGCTTGGCACCATCAGATATATAATAAATTTTTGTACTTTTTGGACACAACATTTTAATAATCGGTATCACTTTCTGCTGCATTAAAGAAACTGCTGTTGCATCATGGGTTGTGCAATCTGATAGTAAAATTATGTTGTGATGTTTTAATTCGGCATTGTAGCAATAGTAAAATGCAACAGTAAAAACCGAACATTGGTCATTGTTATAATGGAAAGCTTGAGCGGCATCCTGAGCCACGTATGCATAATTTTCCGCAAAATCACAGTGTAGCAATATATCATTTTCTTTTAAATTTTCCCTTTTATCAGATATAAATTTTGTTTGTTCATTTGATATAAAACTATGCGTAATGAGAACTTTGATGCGATCACACAATACTTCTATAAAGTCATCTGAGGGAAGACATTCTTGTTTGAGGGTACAGCGATCAGTAGATTGCCAAGTGCTGAATATAACTTGTTCGATTTTATTTTTTTTCAATAATTCCAAAAGGAAGTCGGAAAGCTTCTCAATATTAGGACATTTGTTACACTGTAGCAAATGATAATCAATTGTAGGTTTCTTACACTGAATGAATTTAAAACAATCTTTGTAGTCACATAATTGAAATTCAGAATCCCTGCTCAAAAATTTAAGATTTATAGCATCTAACATTAGTTTAACATTCTGGTGAGTCGTGCATATGCAAACGCTGTGTGTTCCTGATGATCCAGCTAAAACACACTATTCAGGACGCAGCTCTGCGAACTTAGATGATCCAATAAGATGTTCTGGATATTTCTCCTTGAACATGAAATGTAAAACTTTAACATCATACAGTAGTAAATGTTTTTGTTTAGAAACTATCACACCATCTATCTTGACCTTGATAACTTCTTTTTTATGCGGCATAATGCGACCGTTTGTGTCATTTTCGTAAAATTCAATAACTTTCGATACAGTTTCTTCATCTATATTTTTTCCCCTTTTGAAAGGTGGTACTGATAATACTCCACCAGAATTTTTCAAATCCTTAGAATTTTTTGCCAGTCTATAAGAACATTTAAATTCTTCCATGATTGTACGAATGCTCCAACAATCAGGAGCTATAGTGAGAATAGACGTACGCATTGGATCATTTTCAGATAAACTTAGGAATTTCTTTTTAAGGCCATTCAAGAGTTCATAGATTTGCATGCAAGTTCTTCCAAGGAATCATCAAATTTCATGTCCTCTATACTATCACTTTTACTGCAGGATTCGCGTATTCCTTTATTCGGAGGTTCATTCAAGGAGTCATCGAATTCCATGTAATCTCGACTATTACCTTCAAAAGAAAGATCTTTATGAGAGTTATAAATACTTTTTCTGCAAGTGTGACAAATTTTTGATAGTGGATGCAAATTTGGATAGGACTCAAAAATACCTTGCGAAATATTCCGCAAGTTTTTACCCACATGACCATCTTTACCCAGTGGGTTACAACATCTCTTAGAATGGAGATTTTATGACGAATCAGCCATGTCCACAGTTAGGATGCGAATACGTACTTGTAAAAACAATGGAAATAAAATAAGAAAATTAAAAGAAATGAAACAAGTAGGAAATACACCAACTATTCTGAAAAGGACTGTTGGAAATTGACCACCGATGTTCCGCACAAACCTGGAAAATTATCTTAATAACTATCCTGAGAAGGACCGTTACTAAGTTTCTACCGATGCTGAGTACCACCTAATATATCAGAAAAACGACTATCTTGAAAAAGACTATCGTTTCCGAAAATAAAAGGCGTAGAAAGAACAAGCTAAAATAGACCAACAAATTTAAAAAAAAGTTCTTATAATTAGTCGTAGACTACGTATGAATTTTTGTAAAAGATCTTGGGAAGTTTTTTAATTTTTCAAACAATCCGATAAATCCAAAAAGCAAAAAATCGCTTAAAGGAATTCGAAAAAATTCACACTTGTGTTTTGATGAATTTTAAGCAATTTTGTTCCTTAAATTTTTTTTCCAAAGTCATTTCCTTCTGAGTAAAAAAATCGCAAAGTTTTTTATTTTTGAAAATTTTCAAAAAATTATAACTCTTTTATTTTTCATTTTAGCGAAAATGGTCTCTGTTACTTTTTTGTAGGAAATGAGCCAGATTTTCATAAAAAAATATGAAATATTAATTTTTTTAACATTTATTATTAAAAATTTGAAAAATAAAATTTTTTGTTTATGAGTTTGTCTCTTGTAGCCGCCATATTGGAGCCGCCATGTTGGATTTTGCAAAGGCGCACACAGCATCAGAAAGTAGATATCCTAAGCTTTAAAATGCGTCGTTGCACGATTTTTTTGGTCACATCAAATTTTGGACACAGCAGTGATCCGGTTGACATGGATCGTCCCATATATATAGTTGTTGCTAAGTCTGTATGTTATTTAATTTCCTGAATTTATATTTCCAGTTATTTAGTAACTTATTACAATGATGACAATATGTAATTATAAAAAATTGTAGTTTATTGCAATTTCATATATGCACTAACAAATCATATAATAAATGAATTAATGTTATTAACCTTCTATTATTTACGTTTTTACAACGCATTGACTCACTTGTCACATACAAAGATCTATATGTATACAAAGTATTAATACAGAAATAAAAGATATAAATTAAGACTGTCTCTTAGAAACTCGCTTATATTGAAAATATCAAATTGAACTTACTGGTGAATAAACAAATTATATTTGCCACGTTCAATCTTAATGAATTATAGTAGATAAATTGATGCTTAATTATTTTTCTTCCGGCGGATTTTGACAGAAGCGCCTTTTTGCCCACCAAATAGCTCCCATTGCCGCGGCTAAGAAGCCGATGCCAGCAATGATGCCCATAGAAATGGCACGATTCCTTCGGTATGCTGGTACTTCTAAAGTATAACGCTCGCTAACTGCTATGTCGTCCGATACAGATGTAGCTATAACTTCAAAAGTGTAGTAGTTTTCTTCTTCCAGTGTTTTCACTGTAAATCATTAAGTCGAATTAAAATATTATTCTTATAGATTAGATTGATTATTAGTGATTGCGCTGGAAATTTTTAAAAGTTTGTCATACAAAAATCTGAATGTTAGTGAAAATGTTATCGTTTCAAATAATAGTAAATGTGTATAAGCACAAATGATACGTAACAAGAAATATATTTTAATTATTTTCATAGTCTTGATAAAAAGTTGGAACTATATTAAAAACAATCACGTTGAAATTATTAACTATAAAACAATCAATCTACCATAAACAACACAATATTACTGAAAGGGTGTAACAACAATTAATGTTCAATTAAGAGGTATTTAAATTTCATTATTTACATACCAAGATAATAAGTATCTGTAGTTTCGGCTCTGCCGTACAGGTGTTCTGAAGATCCTCTAAACCACCTAACTGTGTAGAATTTGATTTGATCTTTACCATTCGCTGGGGGATCCCAAGTAACTAAATAACCTTCTACTGTTGGCTGAACTCGAACATTATGAGGTGGTTCCACGTCATCATTTTCTATAATGATAAATTGAACTTATCACTTATAACTTTAGTAAGTTAATATTCGATAGATAGTAATTATACAACTTCGAAACTGTAATAAAAAGTTCATTTGTTACTATATCAATACCTTTTGAACTTCTGAATTCTGATGCAATGTTCATATTATTGGAATCTAAAAACGTTCATTTTTAGATAAGCAGAGCGTTTTCTTATATTTTTTTATCTTGTGGAAACGTCTAAACTCGACTTACTTGGTTGTGTAAATACTCGCACAGTTTTGCTGAACATTCCGTCGCCGTGTTTATCTTGGCTAAGTACCATAAATTCGTATTCTTTACCAGGATTCAAGTTTGCAACAGTAGCTTCCGTAATTTTTCTGGATACTATTTTCATTGTTCTCCATTCAGAAGTGTCGGTAGGCCGATACCTATTGGATGAATACAAAGATGAAATATGTAACTTCTTCATAAGCTACAGTTAGAAAAATGTAAAATTTTAACCAAATTGAGTATTCCATTTTCGGTCGAACATATCCTGGTACCCAAGTGAGTGTTACGGCATTTTTCGTACTGTTGGCACTCAAGTTGTAAGGTGCTCTTGGGGGTACATTCAATACCATCAACTCTGCATCTGCTACCACCGTTGCTGCTTCGTTACTAGCCGCACACTGGTACATCCCTCTATCCTGCTCTTGAATTCTCTCAATTGTTAAATTCCCGCCTCTCATTAATATCCTTTCCGATGGTATGGGCGTTCCATCCTAAAAATATCTGGTTTTTAATCAATTATTCGTGTTTTCCAATTATTGCACTTATATTTTTCCGTAAAAAAGTTGATAATATTGAAGAATGATAACAATTACTGTACGTTCAGTTTACAAAATTTAGTCTGATTAAACGAAATATTGAGGACATGAGAATCGTAGACTAATATTTAATTAAATTCACCTTGTACCAAACGATTGTAGGTCTATGATTTTGATCACCGTCTCTGGCATCACAAGGAATTTCCAAAGTATCGCCGAGTTTTCGCATATAAAGATGTTGTGGAGTAACGGTGAACACCGGTGGTCGTTGAACTACCTAGAATATCAAGAACAAATAATATACGAATAATATCATAAATAATTACCTGATTGTTATTTTGCAAAATATTTTTGCCCAACCAGGACAATTTGCAAACCTCTTGGAGGTTCGCCTCTAAAGTTTTCTTGTATGAAAAAAAAGAAAAACTTTTTGTGTCTCACCGAATAGACATTTCAACAAAATGATCGTTAATGACAAAGTTCGTCCGTCTGACTCAAACGTATAGTTTTACGAAGATGACATGGAATGGGAAAAGAACCAAGCAGTGAATAGAACACGTCAAAATGACTACGAAGATCCATCACTAAATTGAAATGCCCTTAAAAGGGTTGTTGATGAGAACATGAATGTAATTCTACAAAGTCAAATACCAATATCAAACTCTATTTGCGCAAACAAAGTCATTTCAGGGTATTCGAATTGCATTCAAAAGCCCGTACCACGTATGGATAACAGACAGCGCTCGCACAACACCTCAAAAGAACGATACGATACTAATGCAAACAGACAAAAGCAAAGATGATCAAGTGAATTACCAACCGAAAAAAAAACCAGACGAACCATAGCATATTTAAAATTGGCTAAATAATAGCCAGAAACTATAAATCAATCATTGAAGCGAAAAGATATAAAAAGTTAAGAGGAGTAATAATTTTTAGAGATAGAAATGAAGAAATCAATCTTTGACAGATGATAGATTCACCAAACCAGGTCTTACAACATTCATGCATACTCAAATTCAAAAAGATGTGCAAAGAAATATTGAAAGAGATGTCCGTTAATTTTGACATCAACGAACTCAAATCAATTATTGAACATGAAAACAAAGTGTGCGACGTCATAAGGCTCAATAGTCAGAACAAAAACCCAGCAGATGATAAGGATAAGTGGATTCCTATTACATTGATATTGGTTAGTTTCGAAGGAGATAAATTACTACCAGACATCGCCATTTATTGCGTCATCACCCAAATAATATAATACGTTAGAAGAGTAAAAACTGGATCGATCATTACCAAAACCAATTCAACTAACTTACTGGTTACGGCATATTATGAAGTCCCAACTAATTAATAACGCAATAAATAACTTAACAACAAGCGAATGAAATAGTTTTATCGATTCAATTATCAATCATGATTCAAACCACTTTATCATAAGCGGCGACATTAACGCGCTCCACCCATTATGAAGTAGCTTTAATCACTGTACCAATGGCGACATCATAACTGAGGACATGGATTGCGAAAATATTATCATATTAAATGATAAAAGCCATACTCACTTCACTATACCGTACGCGGAATTGTCAAATTTTTATATCGATCTAACCTTCTACTAATCTAATCTCTTTGCTGAAAGTAATTTATCTTAAAGAGTCAACTATAGATATAATCTCAAAGAACTAAACTGAGAAACATTCTGCAACAATTTCGAAAACAACAACAAAATTTTCAACAGCACTAGCTCTACTAACTCAGATATAATTACCAGACAAAATTTATTCAAAAATTTCATAAATGAATGAATTTAAAAATCACCATATAATTTTATCGCAAACAAAACATCAGAAGTCACTTTAAATGCCAACAAACCAAGTAAAAGATCATGTAGCAGTTAGTGCCATAGATTCGTCATGAATAATATTAATATAAAATCCATCCCTGGGTTAGATAAAATCACTTACAAAATAATCGCAGTTTTACATGAATTTTATTAAAGAATTCTATAAAATAGATCTTTACAACGACATATTCCAAAGCCAAATTTTTTTCAAAGATTGGAACAAATATCCAGTAATCTTCATATCCAAAGACAAATCAAATAAAGTCAGACCAATATTCCTATGATCATGCTTATTAAAAATTATGGAAAAGCTGGAAAACTAAAACTACAATGGTCATCAGAAGAGGACATCCTGATACCAATATCTCAGACAATATACCAATATATCAGACATTAAATATTTTAATGTCTGATATATATAAAAAAATTTTTACCAAACACAGTTTCTGCGCTATTTCTAAATATTAAACAAGCATATAATGATGTTGTTCCTGACATATTAATCGATGATCTATTCAATTCTAAATTTAACTATTCTAAATATAACTAAAAAAATTATTACGTTCATCCTTATATTCACAAGAAAGTAACTTTCTGCACACTTACATAAATAGAAAAAACCGCCAATAAAAGCTTTCCTCAAGGTAGCACTTTTAGAGCTCCATACTCTATGCTATATATACACTCGAAACAGAAACAAAGTAGTCTGCGAATTTGTACCAATTTTTGTGTTAGCAGATGATATTGCGATTGACAACAAAAACAAAAGTAGCAAAAAAGAACAAGTCAAACCATTAGAAAAAGAAGTAGCAAAAGTAAAATCACATTTAAAAATCAAAGGTCTTGGATTCGCTCAAGAAAAATATGTTTTAATAATTTTTATTAATTCAGCTAAACGTTCAGATATCCAGATAACAATATGTTATTGAAAATCAATAACTACACAATTGAATCGTCCGATGACATCGCGTTCCTAGGAAAAATGATGAATTTATTAAATCCCTATCAGATACCAATAATATTGAAAAGTCACAACAACTCCACACCGCAGAAATTAAAATTGCCAGGGGATATAGAAAGAGTACCCTCATTAATATAACCACAGCTGAATCTAAGATTTCATATTTACAAAACAGATTCAAAGTTACCTACTTTAAATACATTTAAAAATGTTTAGCATTCAATCAAAATCGCACAATAGATAATCTTGAAAAAATTTTTCATCTAACCGACAATTTTTTATAATCTAACAATTTCAAGCTTCCTTTAATACCCGGAGGTAAATCAAACTTATGATTTTGAAATGATTCAATTATTAATTCAAATAAAAACATTAGATATTTACATAATTTCAGTGATTTACATACCAAATGACTCACTTGAAGAAGGCAAAACAATATCCAATGATGCAAATCCAAATAAACTATTTCACAAGTTATACAACAATAATAAAAATACCATTTAAATATTTGCAGATGGCTTGAAAATCGTAGAAAATAGCAGCTTGTGCGTAAGTTTTGTTTCGTGGAGCAATTTGAATAAATTTTGCTTCGTTTATAAAATCTTAGATTCAGCTTTTATTTTCCTCGCCCAATATACAGCGATACTATTTGTCGTTGAAAAAATCATTGATAGAAACAGTGACGTGTACGATAAATCTGTTTCGATTCACAAAGTGCACTCATAGCCATAAACTCTTACTCATAAATATCCAATCTTGTAATAAAATTCAAATGTAAACTTATTCAAGCTCATCAGTGAAACATAATAATTAACTTCATACGGATAAGAAACATGTAAGAATTAAGGGCAACGAAAATTTAGACTCTATGGCTGAAGACGGTTCCCTGTCTTAGATAAAGAAAACTGGAGAAAAAAGATAGTTTTATTGTTAATCTGAACTCATCAAAAGACGATTTTTACTTTCAAAAATATTACTTAGCAGCAAGAAGCCATGGTTTTTCAATTTAATTGCATCCATAAACAGACTAAGAAGCAACCATTTATTTTTAAATAATAGCTCTCTGCGCAAAAACATCACTACCACCGAGATATGTTAATTCAACAATGCAAACGACACGATCGAACATATTTTCTAGGAATGCTATTTAATGATTAAAACGAGACAATTTCTTATTAAAGAAAATTTTATCAAATGAATATACAAGTATAGCCCGTATTCCGCTGTGCCCCTATTAGCATCCGATAACAAAAGCATGATCTCCGCTATAGCAAAATTTCTAAAATCCATTGAATGCAAAATATAAAAATTATAAGAATATTTAGACCTACTTCAATGTTATAACAAATTATACAACAATGTTTACACTCGGTAAAATATAGGGCATCATATTTATATTACGCACCTTTTGTAAAGGCATACTTGTATGAGTCATATCAATAACAGTCACATCCAGTTACATTGGTTAAGCCAATAAAAAAACTATTAAATTAAATTAAATTTCATTTTTCAACCGTCGATAAAAAGATCTTTATCTTTTATTCTCACTATAAAATAAAAATGAGCAAAACAAACTATATGATCGATTTTTAAACATTACCACGGTTTGTTTTCAAGCATCTCGTAGTATATACTCACGACTGTTATTGGAGGACTCGGTCCTTCAGTGCCTAGCGCATTGTATGGTGTACAAGTGTAACTTCCAGCATGGCTTTCATCAACTTTGTTGAAGAACAGCGAACCATTTCTTCGATAAAAAACACCTTGTACATTATAAGGATCAAAAAGAAAGCCATCTTTTTCCCATCTCAAATTAGTCAAAGGTGGATTAGCTCGAAAGTGACAATCCAGAAGAGCTTGTTTCCCGTACGGTAGATAAACTTCGTTTGGAGCATAGATAACTTTTGCTTTATCTAAAGGAAACAAAATTGTATGTAATTATTCAAGTTGTTTGTTGTTTTCAGTTACGGGACAATTCATTTTTCGTTTTTCAGCTGAAGCTTAACGAATGACATTTCAAGCTTACACTGCACATTTAAATAGGCTGATGCACTCTGAGTTTCACCGTATTCATTTTGTACGGTACAGCTATATTCACCAAGATCACCCATGAAAGTCGGATTGATGCTTAAGCTACCATCTGAACTGATAGTAACTCTTTCTCGAAGATCCTACAGTTGAAGTGATTATTAAATTTCACGTCAGCAATGACTACAGGCTTTCTATTCTTGCTTTATCGAGCAATTGGCTAAGAAGTAAATTATTAAATTGAAACTCGACTGTATAAATATGGTAATACCTGCTGTTTCATAATCTCAACTCCTTCTCTATACCATGTGATGGTCGACTTATTGTTCTTGGCGACGCAGTCAAAGGAGACCGAGTCACTCTCCATGATTGTCTTATTAATGGGTGGAATAGCCAGAAGCGTCTCGCCTGGAACATTGGGCGATGGCGGCAACACACCTGGGTTAAACGATTAAACGAATCTGACTTGTTAGCGGTTAGTAAAGCGGCGCATTGGCACACACACAGGTCACTGAATATAGTATAATTTCCTCCCTCGAGATGCAATTGTCTGCTTTACGCATACATACGAAGAATCCCGCGCGAGGTTAATCGCCGTTAATTAATTAGGCGTAAAAATCAGTTAGCATCGGCTGTTCGTCATATCTGAGCGTGCAGCACGGTAAAGGGAGATGCGCGCTCGAAGCTTATTCAGCCATACGAGCAGTTAAAGCCGTTTATCTCATATTAACGTACTTTGTCAATTTTATCATTTGATGTCATTTATTTTCCATGACATTGACTTTTATACGTGTGTGTTTGCGATTATCAATTTCGTTCAAACCATACACTTTTCCAACTCATGGCTATCGTCAACTTTTCATTTAAGAGTATAAATTGATTTTTTACGTTTACTGTTTCCTTGGTTTATTCCGATCGGAAATTCGCTTTACTCGTACCATTTGAAATCATTGATAGCAGTTTCAACGACAGCTTGCAAAGATATAAAAAAAGAGAATGGTTAAACTGATAACTTGATAGTTTGAACATTCGCCTTCAAGCACACGTTCATGTACTTGGTTGGTCATATCATTTATCTTAACATAGTAAGCTGCATTTTATGGATTAGATTTTATCAATACAAATGATTAATATACAAAATAATTTGTGTATATGCCGTCGTATCAAGCAATCGAGGTCTTTTGCAATTGTTTAATTTGCGTTACAGCCAATGGATCTTTGCGATCAAAACAATCGGAGAAACAAAAAGTTAAATAAAGACGAAACGTGTAAAGTAGCTGCAGCCAACAATGTTAATGATCGCATCGCAGTAAATCGAGCGCTGTTAAAAAGATATAGAAAAGAGATTAGAATGACGAGAGTTGCTAGTTTTACCGTCGATGGCCAGATGGAACCAGGTGCCATTGTTGCGAGAGCTGGGTGTCCTGTTGGGGAAGATGACTTTGCACTCGTACCAGCCCTGATCGCTCTCCCTGATGTTGGTAAGATTGACGCTGCCTTGGCCGTAGCCCCGGCTTTGGGCGTCGTCGATCAGATGTATGCGGCCCGCGTAGCCGTCGCCCGTAGAGCCCGAGCCTTCGTACCACGAGAACACCGTCCGGCCCTGAAACGTTAGACGACGCGCAGTGCAGTCCAGTTGGCATAATTATGCCGTTTATTGAGCAGTCGCCGCCACGTGCATCCGGCGAAAGCGCTCGAGCACTTCAAGGCGCGATTGCTACCAATTGACCAGGTCTCCTCGCGAGAGAGCGCCGCCTTCGAGAATTGAACGCTACAGCACTTTATTCTTCGCATGTGGAAGAGGCGTTCGTTGATGCATAAGCTCTAACGTCCCGTGCGAGTTGAGTTGTAATAGTCGCTTTGTTGCAAGCTCCTTGCCTTTGTTCCTTCCGCATCTTCTTTTTACATTTTATTAATTCACATATTGACGTGTTTAGCGACTAATTTTCTTATGAAGTTCATTGAATTTTTCAATACTTTCACTTGAATATAGCTAGTCAATTATGATGTTAATTTTAAAATCAATTAACGGGACCAGACGAGGTGTAACTGTAGTGAAAATTCAAAGTTTTCTTCAGATATCGACTTTTTATCTTAAAATATTTGCTAAAAACTTTGATGTTCTTGGTTAAACGTCAAAAATCTGTCTGAAATCTTGTTAATAAATGAATAGTTTGATGAACACAAATTTTGATAGTAACGTAACGTTTATTAGAGTTCGTACAAGGGCGATGTGATTGGAGCGAAGGTAAAAGCTGATTAATCTATACCGATGTTGAGTAAATAAGCCAAAAGAAACGAACAATTTACGAAATATATCTGGCAGTTTCATAAATGAATATCAATTTGAAAGTTTTTTCTTTTTAATATGTCTAACAAATCTGAATTTTACATTCCACAAAGTTGTTATTTGCATTATATCTTTTTTATTGAAAAATTTAGCTTTGCTATGCTTTTCCGGACGTTAAAGTGGACAACAATTATTTCAAGAGGATTCATTCTCTTGTTAAGATCTGTGTTCTAGGCCGAATGCTGTCTTTTTTAATAAAATTATTTTTTCTCATGAAATTCAAGAAACTCGGTTTAAAACATGAAAACGTAATTTTTTTTAAAGCTGGCTCTGCTCGGTCTAAAGCACGGATCGTAAGAAAGAAAGTGAATGCTCCCAAAATGATTTCCGTTTACTCTGATGTTCAGAAAGACATGGCAACACTAAATTTTTCAATAAAAAAGATGTAGTACAAGTGGTGATTGACGGAACGTAGAATTTATTTATAGGAAGGAAAAAATTTCACGTCGATATATGCATCAAGGCAATTGATACACGAGAGCGAAGTAAAACTTAAAAATTTTCCCTGTTGAACCTCATCCTGTCCCTGTAATGCTTCGTATTTTTCGGATTTCGGAAAGACTCGCAAATAATTGCGATCGCTCTGATCAAGAGTATGTTGTTAAATAAATCAGGTGGTTGATGATTGAAATTAACAGTTGCACGCGTTGTGCCTTAATGTCTTTGTTTGGCCTGGTAAAAAGTGAGTCAGCTAAAGCAAGCAAGCAACGTCCGCAGCACAGTCTCATTAGTTCAAATAAAAAGCAATTCGTAACGACACACTGAAGCGCGTGTTTGCCCGTTGGTACGCTGCACCCACAGATCTGGCAGATAAAAAGGAAACTCAAGCGTTAAATTCATGTCAGCCTAATGAAATTGGGCTTATTGATGGTCGGAAGTTGATGTTCATCCTGCTGCCGGGCCGCAGCGCGATGATCGGTCGGGGATCAGCAATGAAACATATGAATTCGTATGCGAGTCGAGGGCATTTTGCATCGCGAGAGTATACGAGTGTGCCGTCAAAACAAGTGCGCACGATTATGGTCCCTAATGTCCGTTAACAGTGACCCAGTGATGCAGTTTCTCGGCTGTGCCGTGCAAGCGAGGGGGAAGCCGGCGCGACTAATATAATGTAGCAGCCTTGCCTCCCGTACTCCAATTTCCGAGCGAGAACCTGCTTTGCATGCGCATCAGCCACCAATCAACTCGACTTGCACGCGCTCGCTCTTCGGTTTCCGCTCTTCCCTCTCCGTATCCTTTTTATTTGATTGATGTACATATTGTGTCGCTGGCTCCCCATCTGACCGAGATCAAGGACGGTTATCGCGAGACCAATTGAACGTGCTTATTTTATAGATGGTTACCGATACTTGGATCAGTTTCTTACGTGCATTGACGAGGGATCAAAACGGTAAACATTGCTCAAGTCTATTTTTAATTAATCTGATCCTCGATTCAATTGGTAATTCTAGATTTGTGCGTTGTATAACATAAGTATTAGAGGTACGAGTATGGTTTATTCGTAGGAACGAAAGATCGGTAATCACGTTCCTTTGATCAGCGTAATATTTGATATAGCTATTTAATTCGCACGAATATCGCATGCGTAATTGAATACGTGAACTATAAAATCTTAGCAGTCGTCACGCTTGCCGCGAAAATATTACATCTCGCACACATTGGACCAAAACTTGTTTTGAAATTGAACCTCTTGCAACTAGTCATGGAATAATAAACTGAGATATTCTACTTTTGTTCGTTTTATCTGCACGCGTAATTAATTGTTACATTCTCGACAGCGGTGTTTTATCTATTGTATCTACGTAGAAAAATCTCCGAAGCAAATCATTTTCAGATGTAACTGTAGTTTCCGAGTTGTAAAAGCAATCGATAATGCAACAGATGAAAACGTAGTTACTACCTGCAGATCAAGCCAATAAAGAGCACTACTCCAACGGTCTTTAGCGAAGCTTGGTCAAATTAGCGAGCCTGGAGAGTGAATTTCGCGAAAGTCGCACGTGGGCCATAAGTGGGTTCGCGCGGGAGCGAGCATGGATTTGCAAGCGCTCGTCTCGGACTCGCGGACGCGCGCTAAGCGTGGCAATCTAGCAATGAGCGAAAGAGCGAGAGTGAGAGAGAATAAGTAAGCAGTGGTACTGGGAGAGGCTTGTGGCATGGCTTAGCGTGCGTAATGCGCCTTAATGGCCATCAACCGGCCGTAAGCGCACGAATATTATCTGTGCTGAAATAGCATCTAGGCGAGTGGCTCCGAGCTGTTCTGGAGATCGTCCACAGGGGCAAGACTCTTGGCCGATTCTTAGTGTAGACGCCATCGTTGCATGTTTTCCCTTCGGATCTTTTTTTTTATCGTCTTCGAAAATCAAATCAAACTATCGATGGAATGCTAACTATTATTTCATGCCCAGGATTTATTAAAACTCGATTTGCAATTGTTTTTGCTTTAAAATATTTTCTACTTACAAATGCTTCCATCCGTTTAATTAATAATGGCGAAAATGAATCTCATTCTGATTTTTGTCTAAATCAGCGATCAATACTAATAAAATGTTGCAATTTATTGTCTTGAGCCATTATGAATACTTGAATTTATTAAATACTGTAATGTCAGGAGTGCACATTGGATATCGAGAAGTGCCTTAGTTTTGTTAGAGGCTTTCCACAAAGAGACAATACACGTAGATGGATCGCGTGTATCGGGTGGCAAATGAAAATGGGTGCTGCCGAGCGATGACGGGCGTCAGAGTCGGAGTCAAGAAATAAATCGTTAGATAGCATTATATAGAAATTGGCTGCAAAGCATCGGGTGTTATTACGTGTCTATGAAGCACAATCGATACGTTTAACTCGATCGATGTAACTTTGATTAAAAACGTGGCACAACTTACATCACGATTCCAGTGGAGTATGTAAGGTATCGGTATCTCGTGAGGGAAGTCTAGATCGCAATTGAAGACGACGTACTCGCCGACGGCTGCGGTAAGGTAGCTGGGCTCTTTTTCCTCTTCCAGAAGGAGACCAAGGCCGGCAACTATAAAATTTGGTTGATCATTTCCAAACCTGCCCCCACTCAGTTATTTTCATTGGAACTACAATGAACGAAGTAGCCCGTTGGATAAGTTAATGAAACGACACGAGAAACTTGCATCCGCAGATCGGCTGCAGCCGCAAATTATTATTAGATTGCGCAATGGTGTAACTTATCGGGGATATAAACCGCGGCCACCCGAATCGAAAGACCGATGACAGACTGCGGGCACCGAGTGGTAGAGCTATGGAGTGGTCATTTAATAATCTCATTCGACGCTGCACACCGAGTTGAAACACGCTTCGGAGATCGTTTGAAAACGGAATGCAGGCAAAGGAGCTGTCGCGAATCGAGCGTGCACTTGTTAGCTAGATAAAAGCTCGGCCGAAGTGTGGGCTACCTTTGCAGAACAGCAGAAGAAAGACGATCGAGTGGGCCTCGCTGGCGGTGCTCGCAAACATGATTCGCCGTGAGCAGCCTTCCCCTCGGCATATAATTGCAGCTGCAGTGCTGAGGCAGACACAGAGAGACAACGACACAGACACACCAACAGTGTATATCGCACTAAACGCAGAACAAACGCTACGATATGCCCAATTATCGAATCAAGCCCGACAATAAAAGAAATCACTGCTAGAAGCTGCGACCGGCAGTCGAGGAGCGCCAAGAGCAAATCGCAGCTGCTGCCATCGCCGATCCTCTCGATATCGCACTTGCCTTTGCTTCCTCTCGGTTTTCACTTGGGAATTGTGCACTTGTGCTCAGAACATCGCGTGCCTGGCTGTCTCTGGCTGCGACCGAGTGCCGCACTGCCAAAGTCGAAAACCTCACTGATTCGTGCGGCAGCAGTGGCGAAGGAGGAAGCGCGTCAAGTGTCAAACCAGAGCTCTGCCAGTGATGCAGCGCGAGAGGCGAGCGAGCGGCTGTGACGGCAATTGGGCTCTCCTCTGCGGGGGACGTCTGTGCTCGCAGGCCGGCACCTGCTCTGGTGGGGAGCGATTGCGCTCGCAGACTTCGCATCGACACCGAATCACTGCCCTCTCTTGCCTTGGCTTTTCGCAAAAAAATCTCGCTCTGGTCAACGAATTTCTTTTTGCTCTTGCCTTGCTTGCGAGCGGCCTCAAGGTCGGCCGTCCTGAGCTTGCCACCGAGCAGCTGTGCGCTCCTCGTCTCTAATTGGATTATTGTCGCAGACGGGAAATTTCGTTTGAGTTTCTCATTGTGCCTGTAATTGCTGCGAGCGCGCGCGCTCGGCAAAAATGTGCGGATTCTTCGACTAAAACCAGCTGCTGCCTTTACACGCATAGTGCAGCCCCATTAAAAAACTTTTATTGCGCGTTATGAGAGACCAATTGCCGATCGAGCGAGCGAGGCTCGCGGATTATATAATCAGACCACTTTTGGTTAAATATTACATTTCCATTCCCTGAAAAATGGATAAAAATTATTAGTGATTCTGAATTAATATCGTTATATTGAAAACATCAACAAATTTTCCATAGTTTTCGAAAACTGCTAGTGTTCTTTTTTTTTTTATGGCAAAAGAATCGATCTTTTGTGAAGCTACTTCATCAAAACACTCATTTCTGTTAGTTCAAAACTTTAATTTAATTGGGACAGCTAAAAAGCAAATTAGGTAATAACGCATTAATAAATCTCATAGTCGTAACCTAAATATATTTCCTATATATAATATTTACGCTGGATCTACGTAATGATAGTTTATATAAATTAAAATTACCACTTTTTATTTCAATACTATATATTTTTCTACTGACAAGGTTCACCTGACAAAATTCTTTCAACGACATCTATAATATATCAAGCTAGAACACTAAACTAGCGAGCAGCTAGGAAAATATAGTTTTTATATTATTTGAATGCATGGCTACACAGAGCCCTTTTGTGATGATAGATTTGAGGACTGATAGGTATTCAAATATAATTTAACTATAAGAACTTTGTTGTTTAAACATACACTTGAACATTTTTTATATATACTCAATAAAAATTTGATCAATCATTGTTACTTCATGTGTCTGCACATGTTAATTTCATAATATATCTTTATGTCTTCTAATTTCATTTTAGAAAAGAAATTTTTTCTTTTGATTGTTGCAGCTATTACTTTATAGTACATTATGGACCAAGGGAGTACAGTCGGTTCATTGTCCATCGTGTTTCCTTGGTGTTTATACGAGTTTTTTGCCCAGCGGCCTAACAATAGCATTTTTCCAGCCGTTACTCGGTTGGTAGCATGCTAATTTCGGCCTCATGGATAAACAAATTGTATGCGCACCACGGCCGGGATATTGGCAAGCCCATAACACAGCTTTGCCTCGGTTGTTAATTCTCGCGTGCTACAGACTTACCAGTACTTCCCGCCCTAGGTACATAATGTACTGTTTTCGCACGCTGCTGTAAAGGGGCGATACTGTGCCCGTTGTAGGCAGCGCAAAATCGTACTGACTGTCTAAACGTAAAGATCAGTGTGTACGTGCAGCGTCTCGAACGGTAAACGTGGCGCATAATGCATGCGCGAAGTACTCAGAGGCCTTATTGTGGTGTTGGTCATGCGCACTACATTGTGTGCTGATTTGTTGGTCAAAAAACTAATTAAGATTGATTAGTTATTCCATTGCCCTTGTGACAGACAAATCTACCCACAATATACAGCGCAGCGTACAAATACGCACGACCTACACCACAATAAGGCCTCAGGCTGCCCATGCTGTTCTGTGTTCCCTGCTACTAACGGTTAAAAAATGATAGCTCTCTTACATTCCGAGCGTGTAGCTCTGCAAACCAAAATTCACATAAGGATATAGAAAAAATAGCGTTAAAGCTTTTCGTTTAGCGCGTCAATTGGTTTGCCTGCTGCTGGTCTAACTTAATCATCAAAATTGTAACAGCAATCAGAAGGAAAAAATAGAATTTTGAGCTACTTTTTCTAAAGGAAACTTCAAAGACCTATTGTGCTATTAAAAATAAATAGAACAACCCGAAAAAAATTCAGCTGATAGTTAATTTTTCAAAAAATTAATTAGTTTTTATTTAGAAAGTAAGGTCTACAAAAAAAATTATCTTTTCAGTGGCTTATTCAATTGATGTCGGACTTGCTACAAATTATTGAGTAATGATTAAACATTATAATTTTCAATGATTTTCTGAATAAATTTTTTAAACATTCAAATGTTAACCTGCTGAAGTTTTAAACTAATTTCAATTGGAGCCGCGATTTATATGTTTGAAATGTTGTAATATAAACATAAAATAAACACAAAACGTTATTTTTGCAATGAATATTTGATATATTGTTAGTGACCATCTTTGAGGATTATTGGTATTTGTAATTACAATAACCAATAAACGAAAATAATCGTGCGACGACTCAAATTATAGCTTTTTCAATTCTCTATTACTTGTTCATCGAAGATTAATACTATGGCTTGCAAAATTAAAAAATATGTTTTGCCAACTTTGGACGTTCATTTTTTCAATTTACTGTAACTCGATGTAATATTAACTTTTACATAATCCATTTTCATGTAAATCCATTATTAACTAACGCAATTTTATAAAATTTTTATATCAGTCAGTATTTGTACAATATTTTAGAATATTTCCCGCATAATTTATTAACAGATATTTTTATGTCATAATAGTCTGTTAATTTAATAAAATGTACACTATAATAATTATGTGCACATCACACTATTTCTTCGCATAAAGTATTTCGAATAATTAATACCGAAATAGATAAGCTACTGTTGGTATCACGTTGTACTCGAGCTTATTTTATGTTTATATTACAACATCTCAAACATACGAATCGCCGCTTCAATTGAAATTAGTTTCAAACTTCAGCAGGTTAACATTTGAATGTTTAAAAAATTCATTCAGTAAATCATTGAAAATTATAATGTTTAATCATTACTTAATAATTTATAGCAAGTCCAATGTCAATCGTATAAGCCACGGAAAAGATCATTTTTATTGTAGACTGCACTTTCTAAATAAACTAATCAATTTTTTGAGAAATTATTTATCATATGCATTGAAGAAGCTTCAAACTACCAGTTAAAATGTTCACGATGTTCTATTTATTTTTAATAGAACGGCAGTAAAAAGTAGCTCAAAATTCTACGTTTTTCTTCATTCTAATTGCTGTTACAACTTTGATGATTAAGCTAGACCAACCGTTGATAAACTAATTGACGCGCAAAACGAAAAGCTTTAACGCTATTTGTGCTATATCATTATACGATTTAATTTGCAGAGCTGCACGCTCAGAAAGTAAGAGACCTATCATTTTTAACCGATTAGTGGGAGGGTACACAGTCATCGCTTTGTGGACAGGGTGCGGAAAAATTGGATTGGAACATAATAAGTTTAAGTAATTATAATATAATAAGGATAAGAAGTTTCAATCAGTGACAATTTGATTTAATAAAAATTTGGTACATTAATAACTTCATATTAAGTTGCATTAGGCATCTGATGTACAGAGTTTGCGAATACTTATACTGTTGTTGAAATTAAACGAATACTGTGTAAACTGGTTTAAATTGTTTAAAAATACAGACAGTGAATTGATCTTGAAAGATAGTTTAGAAATCATCAATCCTAAATTCTAAAGGTAGTAAAATTATACGTTCGGGTATGTCTTGCCTATATATATATAAATTGTCTGTTCCATTTTGTTTTAGAGCACGTCTACGATGCCAAGATTTTTTTATTTATATTTTATTGGTCGGTAGTGAATTACGTTTTCATTTGTTAATGTAAAAAAGCACTTGCTTGATAACAAATTCAATACAATCAAATTAGTCATAAAATTCTGACACTTGATTCGCTCTATTTCTTTTCCATTTGAATGAAATAAAAAAATGTAGTTTAGAAATCTTATGATTCTCTGTTGAGCTTAACTATCTACCTACAACACAGCAAAACTGTATCATTCATTTATTGTTGTTGTCGTGAATAGTGCAATGTTCGTTAATTTACGAATGTTTATATGATTAAAGTAGTCAAATATTGTGAAATGCGTGTAATTTACATGCTTTAAGCGTGGATTTATGTGTCTATAGCATAAAAATCTTATAGGTTCATATCATTAGCAAGCAAAAGGTTTGATTAATGCAAAAGCTAGAAAATTTAAAAAAAATAGTGCATTAAATAACGCTCTAGAAGTAGTGATTTAAGGTGAAGTTCACTAATTAATCAATTTCAGTATACAATCTCGTTGATATATAAAATGAATCTGAAAGACACGAAATTCGTGTGCGTGAGGTACGTTAAACTGGCGCGTGACACAATGTCGCAGCATCTCTTACGTCATGTCCGTCCCTTGACAGCGAGCGCAGGCAACTATACAGGAGGTCGGCGAAGAGGAGGAGTAGAAACAGACTATGTATGAATGTATGGTTGATGCCACATACAGAGTTGCGTGCGTATACACACGAGTAGCGAAGCTGCTAAAGCAAAGTGGATTTGGGGCTGGAGCTGCTCTGCTACCTAACATTAACGATGTGTTTGGCGCGGGTGCGCTCAATGATGCCACACGCACGGTGAAATGTTTCGCACATACTTGTTTGTGACTACTTTAGCGATCAGGCAGGAAGAGGTGCGCCGTCAACGAGTAAGCATTTCTATGTCCTCGATTGATATCCCTTTCGATGCCTACTGATCTCATTCTGGTTCACGTGCTCTTTTACAACTAATTTCAGCTTCATTGTACTTTCGAGCTTTTGTTCAGCGGCTTGGAAAAATCAAATAGCAATTACTCCGATGCGTAATTATCTTGTTCTTTCTTATTTTTATATATTTATTTTTACACTATACAAATAGTTAACTAGTATTAACCACCACCGGATAACGAATTTTTCTTATTTGCAGAAATTGTATAGTACAAATATGTACACAAAAAACTTGAATGTTATAAATTAATTCAAAAACTGAACGTAATAATTAGTAACTTAAATGTAATAATAAAAATAACATTCATGTTTCATCATAGAAGCCGCTATATATCTTTTACTATACTATATTTTTACTTTTTGTTTGACGACTTTTTTACCACATAAAACTTAGTTCTTCGTGTAATTTATTAAATATTTTAATAGCAATAATATAACCACTGTTTTTATACAGTGTTTTGTTTATTTTAGCAATCTAAATGCTTTTGGTTCTTGTTTTACTATTTGAGTTATTATATATTGTACTTAATTCATCATAATGATAGCATAAGGATTTTAGTGTATAATTTTGATCCCATCGCAGCGGATAATTCTTAGTTATACATTTTAGAATTTTGTTTTGTAAGTTTTGAAGTTAGTATAAAATATTTATTCAAGTACCTCTCTATATCTAAATTCCGTAATTCATAACTTCACAAAATTAACGGTTTAAAATCTATGTTTAACTGTTGAATTTAAGTGTTTGAACCGGTAAGCAGTCCATTACGTTTTTATTTTAATTCACCATTTTTTTTTTGCTATATAGTAAAACTTACGGAGGTACACACAGGTACCATACGTAAGATGACAGTACATAAAAAATAGAATCAGAATCAAAGTAAAAACAAACAGAAAATACAAAACTAAAGCATATAAATTGTTGCATAGTCATAATTTATTTCACCAATCTTTCTATGTATAAAATGCCCATCTCCAATAGTGTATAGTTATATTCATATCCTGTATCCGTGTGTTTATTAAGTTTCTCTGCCTTTTTTACTGTTCATGTTTAGATTATTTAAAGTGCTGCTGATTTTTAGAAATACTTTCAAAACCACGTATTTTGACTTCTGCGTAGTAAATTTGTTCACTCTTGACATGGTATTTCTGTATCTGGTTATGTTTTCCGATATACTATATTCCGTGGTTAAGTTATAGTTCTCCATAATCATTTCCAGTATAAAGTGCTCCTTAATAGATGAAGATACAAGCATTCTTGAGTAATATTTTAATTATTTGTTTTGAATTTTTTGGATACAGTTAAATGTATAACTATTTGCTCTTTTTCAAGCAATAATATCACGTGTGGCAATGTTGTGATACAGCACACTGTCGTTAGAGCCTTTATGTCTATAAATTTTGCAAGTTTTGCGATTACAAAAACAATTTCTAATTCATCTATTGTTGCAATAGTATTCCAGTTTACTTTTTTATCAAATATTTCAGTTTTTCATAGTTAACAAATCTGTAATTGGTATCATTTCGTGCTTCCTTTAGATTATTATTGAGAGTCAAGTAGATAGTGATCAGTAAAGGATCTTGTCACTTTAAACAAGTTGGCAATGCAACATCTATTTTCGTGAATATATTACCCATATATGTCCCTTTATATGAATGATGTATGTTCGGCCTTGTTATTTCGTTAAACAGCGGTACATTCTTATATTCTATAATGCTCAATAGTAGTTCTTGTATATCACATAAATCAATATTATAAAGTTGCCCAATATAAAATGATTGTACGTAAAAGAATTGATCTTTAAATATTCTTCTATTTTTGTTGAAAAATTTTTCTTATTGTATGACATCTGTATACTCTTGTAACTATAATTCTATTGTAGTTCAAAATTATATTACAACTTTTTAGATTTAAGCAGTCGATTCTCTCAATTTTTATGGCATTCAGACTTTTAATATTGACGTGAGTAAGATTAATTTATTTCTTAAATCTAACTTATTGATATTATTTAAATTGTTCTTCAGTTGATTTTCATCTACAAGTATTAAATCACTATTATCGCCCTCTATTTATTACTTTTAAAGCTTTATTGATTGCTTCACTGTCTTGCATTAACGGCGTTTCCTTATTGTTGGTATGTATCACTTCCATATTAACAACATTACAATCAGGAAAATCACATATATATTTGCTTTTGTGGGATAACCAGTTTTGACTATTCTTCTATTGATTGTTTATATTTAAAATCTAGAAATTAACAGCTCACTTGGAAAAATATCATATTGTTTACCTAATTTTTTTTGGAACAGACTTTCAACAATCTGTTCATTATCTTTATTCAGACGGTTTAATACAAAAGTTTTATCTAGCTTTTCTATAACCTTCTTAATTAGAACAATTATATCTTCATGTAACTCTGTTACTATAATCTTATGAGTTGTAATTCCGTATTTCTCTGATTTTGCTTTAATTATTATTAGAGACGGATTATATTTCATGGTGATAAATTTTCACTTAGTTACCTTGACAGAAGTGAGTGAGTTATTAGAAAATTCATATTAAGCATCACCTTAACTCTATTTTGTTTTATTAAGTTTTATGAAGTATTTCCCTAAGTAAGCTATTATTCTCTTGTAATTTAACTTTTAGCTGCCTAAGTAGGTAAATTTCTGCTTTCGTCGTAATAAAATCATCCTCCTCACCGCCACTTATTATTAAAGTTTTCATTTCTATGTTACGTGCTTTTTCTTTCTTAAACAACTTAACCTGGGCAATTATTGATTTAGCTTTTCTATTTAAAACATCTAAATTTTCTTCGCAATTTAAATCAATGTTGTTATGATTTTGACATATTACCGAGCATTCACTCAATGATATTATAGACTTTAATTTCTTTAAGTCAGATTTATGAGGTACATATCAGGTAAATTTTGATTTTAACTTTGGTATTTAGATAACATTTAACATGTGTATCATTTTCATTATCGGTTTTCTTATTTCCTGGATTACCCAGGAAATAACTCCCATTCAAGAGCGATTTAAAATTTAAGCCTCTCACCTTGACTGCCAGAGACAGACTGATGAAATTTGTTACTAATTTTTTATTATTGTGTGTTTAATGCATATCTTTAGATTGTTATTACATAGCAACGTCAAGCTTCTTACTATTCAAACAAGTCTGTTCTGGTAGTTGTTTCATTCTAGTTTAAGCTAGCTCTCATTTTAAACAAGCGAAATCAGGAAAATTACATCATTAGTAGCAATTTGCGTTTTAAACGATTTCGCAAAGATGATTGTAAACTTTAGACACAGCAACCTTTCCATTTCATGGAAAGTTCACAGTATGTTGTAGTAAAATCATTATTTTTTCATTGTTTTGCTTTTTAAAGTAAAAAAAATGTAATGTTATTTCACTGTCGTAATTAATAAAAAAAGATAATAAAAAAGAAATTTATAACGTAGGAGAGTAAGGTAAAAAAGAAACTCATGATTTCAAATGACCGTTCTCCTTTTAATTTTATTTAATAATAAATCGTCTACAATTCGTTCTAAGTTAGTACGTCTTGGGGTTCTCGGAGTAGCGAGAAAGCATAGTCGACAATAACGGGGCAACTATATTCATTCGATTTCATCCCGAGGAAAATATGATAGACGAAACGAGTAACGAGTTGTAACGGAGGATACATATTCGTATGAGTTTTACAATTTGGTTAAAACAATAAGACATAATGAGAAACGTGTTGCAAATATGACAATGCACAGGGCTTTGCGAAAATTTGTCACAACAATAATTACGTTATAGGTTCGTAATCGATGGGTTGTACGGCATAATACAGGGAAACTTATGCAAAAAGTTTGATGCGTATTTGAGCGAGGAAATCAACGAGATTCGAAGTTACTGTTACAAAGATGAGTCACTTTACATGTGCTTATAATATTCGTGTACATTAGGCAAACGGGCGTAATACGTATAATAAAAAATATATTAAAAAATAATAAACGCTATAATAAACTAACTAAAACTAAAGTTGTACTCAATGGGCAAGTTCAGCAGTTTCATATACGACGACACTTCCACAATCTCGTATTTTTTGTCTTTATACAGTCGGCAGTGGCGCTCAAATAAACGCACTTGATTCACAAAAAGATTCTAAGAAGTGCTAGCGCACGATGTTTATTTTCGATAACATTCTTCGCACATTATATAGAACCGTTCATAAAATCTTACTCATAATTTCGCGGTAAGTCGTGTGGCGCAGTGACGCACAATGCAGCTTCAGTTTTTCAATTGGTCAATTCTTCTTATTTCTTCCAAGGAGAGAGTCACGGTTCGCTTATTTTCGCACGCAGTCTCTCGTAACTCTACGAAAGTCTTCGGCCTACTTATATATACTTATTAATACTATTTCATTCTTTCCGCAAATATCATGTAAACAAGCAATAGTCCTCGTATAGAAAACAATCTTTCGTTCTCATCAAGGGTTTCGTCTATTAAACATGCGAACTTGACACGTTAAAAAAGTGCGAAATTTTTTTTGCGGTCGGGCTGCTTTGCTCGCTTCTTTGTTTCTTCGCTTGTATGCAGTCGCGCGTCACAGCTTCACGACGACTAGACCCATTGGCAAGACGGCCATCGCGCGTATTATTATTATAGTTTCTTTTATACGTGGTTAGCGAAATATCTATATGCGTGTGCATGTATACATGTGCTCGTGTTTCATCGAATGAAATATGCTGCAACTCAGATAATTCGAAAACCGTTTGTGTAAGAAATTTCTATTAGCATTTCATTTGGATAAAGAGAAAATTATATTCCAGGTATTGCTAAGCTTTTAGAAAAGTGGAAAATTGCAAAAATGTTCAATCCGTCGGCAATCTTTCGTTTGAACATTTAAACCGAATTTATTACAAGCAATTTTTTCATAAAACTTTGATAACAATTAACGCTACAATGACGATCGAATCACTTGGACTTGATCTTATTCGCACACCGCATTCTAATATTCTAATATGAAATAGTAAGTATCATCCTGCAGAAGCGCAATTCAATATCGGCGCAATAGCACTGGTGATAAATTTGTAATTTGAATACCGTTTGAAAATATTCGGCTGAATGGCCGTCTTCGAAAAATCTACAATATGAATTTCTTACACAACCGATCTTACATCATATTCGTAATAAATTTTTGTACAAATACCAATATGCATAATAATAAAAAAGAAAAACAATATTCGTAATAATACAAAAGGAAATAGTGAAAAGAATCATCTATGATGGGCGCATAATCAACTGTACGTCGAGGTGCACGAAAATTATTATAGGAAACTGATGTAAAACGAGGGTACGTCGTTAACAATAATCGTCACAACATCTTCACGATTCAACCATATAGTCGGTATTTTTCCTTATATACGCGATACTTTTAATGCATTTGCTTTTACGTGCTGTCAGTGTGAGTATGAATAATATGCTTATACGGTGACCAATAATTTTTTGTATATATAATATATTTATATATTTTTTTTCATTAATTTTTTTAAAATTCTGTAGCGAAACACGCGCGTCATCTTTGAGATCGTTGTATCTAACTATGATATATCTACAATCTTAATTTACGTACGCTTACTCGCTTATTAATACAAAGTGAGAGAAAAATTTCTGACTCGAGAATCGTCGCTGTCACTACATTGCTTCTCTTGATTGAGTTCGATCTGCAAGCTACAACGAAGGGAAATGGAATTGCGATCGCTTTGATCTTGAAGTGAGGATCACTGAATCTTTCGTGTTATTTCGTCGACGCGCGATTCTCCGCACTGCTGTTCTGCTCGCGACTCGTGGCGATGTACTTCCGCCTCGCATTTCTTTATAAAGAAACATAGAAATGAAAGTCCTGCTTATCGAAACCAGATAAGAGAAGGGCCTTTATATTCTGCTTTTCCTTTGTTCGCTTAAAATACTCTGGTAACTCTAACCAGATCAAACTCAACATTCAAATTTGGACTCACTTCGTAATTAATACTTTTCTTTATCAGCAATATAATACAACAGCAACGGGCAATTTTGCGCTTTTAATTACAAATACGCGTTTGTCGTCAATTTTTTTAGAGTTTCATATGTCCAATGTCGATTAATAATATACATACCTACTCTCTACATCGTTATGATTTACAATTATCAAATTATTAATTCACTCATTAGAATTATTTTAGAATATTGGTACTCACTGTATCAGCTGATAATTAATAATGTACTTCCGTTCTCTCTTTCTCTCGCACACACATTCGCTCGCACTATAATTGCTTTTCACGCTTGATTCGCTCATCCAGGCATCGTTTGATACTCGCTTATGTGAATGCAAGCCCTCGTCACTTTACAATGTTATCTCCAAATTGTGTTCATATCCGAGCGTTTTTCCACCTTCGAAGTGTATAGTTGAATCGTGATTCGAGCTTTCGCTAATGCAATAATTGTACTAATGATCTATCAAAGGTATCAGCTTAATCATATAAATAAAAGATTTGTACTATAAAAAGTAATATAAATAAACGAAAGATCTCCCCGGCAGATCGCAATAATTGTTGCATACTGCAGTCTCTCAGAAACACTCGTGCGGTACATTATTTTATTTTATTCTCCTTGTGTATTCCCATAAAAGCGCGTGTCGTCTTATAAATCTCACTCTCCTCGCGTATAATTTGTAGATGAGAAATTGACCTCGTGAGCGTGGGCGTGCGTGTCGTCTCTCTGTCCTTATATTTTTGTCGGCGCAAGCTCTCCTCGCGACGCGCGGAACGAGAACCTGCCGCAATACGCGTATCGACGTCGCTGGACACTTAAGTGTTTCTTCGTCTTACATTGCTTAAGAAAAATTATTGTGCCGATAATAGGTTGGGTCGCTAGTGAAACCCTAAACAGGCAGTGCAGTACGAGTGAGTCCTTAAGCAATCTCGAGGCAAGCTTCGGCCTAATATCACGTTTCAAGTGCATTGCTCATTATTATTACGGATGGCCGATAGGGCGTCCGAGCGTCCGAGCGTCCGAGCGTCCGAGTGCATTTGCTCTCTCCTAGACAAGTAACTTGCTACTTAGATTTAAGGGCGGCGCGAGCACGCGAGTGCCGGTGACGAGTATCTTTGGAGTACGGCCAGCCGGGGCGGCGGCGGCGGCGGGGGTCAGCAGGCGCTCTCGAGGTGGGCGCTCTGCCGGCGGCGGGCCTGGCGCTGGCGGAACTGGTGGAACTCGGCCTTCATGGCCTGCACGCGCGCCTCGATGTGGTCGCGCGAGCAGCGCGCCTGCGGCTGCTGCGCCGGCGGCTGCTGGCGGCGCGCCGTGGCGGGCGTGTGCAGGTGGATGGCCGGCGGCATCTGGTGCTGCGGCGGGCGCTCCTCGCGCGTCGGCGTCGAGGCGGAGGTGGGCGTGGGCGTGCAGGAGGCCGGGTCGAACTCGTAGTGGCCGTCGACGCTGCCGGCGTCGAGGCCCTGGTGCGGCGCCGCGGGCGGCTGGAGCAGCAGGCCGCCGAGCCGCTGGTGCAGCGCCGCCGGCTTGAGCTGCGCGAGCTGGCGCTGCTGGTGCGGGCCGAGCTGCAGCTCGAGCCAGCGGCCGACCGAGAGCGGCGGCGGCGGCGGCCGGTAGGGCGGCGGCCGCCACTCGGCCACGGTGCTGCCGCTGCGCGAGCTCTGGTTCTGCTGGCTGGTGTTCTTGCTGCCGAAGCCCGAGCTGGAGCTGCGGCTCTCGGGCGAGGCCTCGGGCGGCGGCTCGGGCGAGGGCGCGCCGCAGCCCGCCGCCTCGGCCTCGGCCAGCTCGGGCGCGGAGCGCGCGTGGCGCGCGTGCCGCGGGGGCAGGCGCGCGCGCGGCCGCCCCGGGCCGCCCTGCGGCGGCGAGGAGGTGGCCAGCGGCTGCACGGGCACGAAGCGCTGGCTCTCCGCGTGGATGGCCTTGAGCGAGGGCAGCTCCTGGCTGTAGCGCTGGTGCACGTTGCGCAGCTGCAGGTAAGGGGCCGCGGCGGGGCGCGGGCTGTGCAGGCAGGAGGAGCCCTCGCCGGGGCGCACGGAGCTCAGGTCGGGGCTGAGGTAGGCGCCCGCGGCGGCGCCGGCCGGGCGCAGGCCCGCCGCGCAGGCCGGCGACGAGGCCAGGAAGCGGGCCGAGCTGATGGCGCAGATCGGCCCGTCGGCCGCGTGGCAGTGGCCGGCGCGCGCCTCCAGCGGGTGCACGGGCGGGCTCAGCGGCGCGAGCGCGGCGCCGACGGGCGGCCGGCCCACGGAGAAGCCGCTGCACTCGGAGCGCAGGCTCAGTTGGCTGGTGCCCACGAGGGGCCGCCGCCACGAGGACTTGTGCTGCTGCTGGCTGGGCAGGAAGCCGCCGTCGTCGCTGCTCGAGGCGTCGAGGATGCTGTTGTCCGCCGAGGACAGCACCGAGTCGGCGATGACGAAGCGCCCGTCCGCCGCCCGCGAGATCTTGCCCAGGGGCCGGCAGCGCCGGCCCCCGAGCTCCGGGCTCGACGGGCTCACGATCTTGCGCAGCAAGTTCACACCTGGTATTCGGCTTTTTCTAGATCTGCTCCCGGCAACATAAAACAGCAGTGTTAATCTTGGTTCGCTCGTATCGTTGCCGTCCTGGCGACAAATTTGTGACCACGCGAAAACATCTGCCGAACGTTCTTACGAGGATGCTTTTCGTGGAATACTTTGTCCCCGGAGATGGGGCTCCTCGCAGATGTTTTCGCGTCGTTTACAAACAACAAATACGTGCGACACTCACGGAAACTCTATAGGCAATTGCATCAAAGTATCAACTCTAAAGTAATTTTAAATCAACGAATGAGAAATAATATATCGGCAAATCTAACTACAAAAAAGCATGCACATGCATATCATTCCGGTGCGAAACACACATTGAATAAGACAGGTGTGAAAGGTTATCTTGCCGGGTGAGTGAAGTGGAAGTGAACGTGAACATTCTATTCTCAACAAAACTTTTCATCTCTCAAATTGTCATTGTCAATAATCATCTTTCGAAATTTGCATGAAAAATTTCATCATCTTCATTCCACTTTTTTTTTAAATATAGATATTTAATCGATATAAGTAGCAATCATTATTTAGGTGCTCTGGAGGTTGTCACCTTTTTGTCTCCTTTGTGTCCGGCAGCAGGGAAAGTAGGGGAGAGAAAAAATGTAACACAACAATTACATTCTCAGAAACAATCGAGTGATAGTAATTATAAATTCAGTACTAAAGTAAATGTTCAGTCTAGGGGCGGTAACTAGGGAGCAAATAGATGTTCATTCAAGTGTGTACAGAGAGTTATTAAACATTATCCAACTATCTTCATTGAAGTCATTTGTCTGCGTCATTGGTCACCGATTCATTTTAAAACCAATACCCCTTTTTCCCATGCTTTATCAAAAGCATTGATCTAGAAAATATTCGCGAATATTCTCAACATTTTTACTGCGGAGACATCAATGTAACGAAAAGAAAAAGTTTTACAGTGGTTTATACTGGTGTTGAGTCATCTTCGCTCGAAAGAAAGCTTCCTTAGATTGCATTTAGGTGCCATTTTAGGGAATATAAACATGCCTTGTGAAATTAGTGAATATAATTGAGTGCGCCATCATATAGGTCATTTGTTAAAATCATTCTTTTGAAGTATATTCAATTGACATTGATCAAAGTTAACGTGATTTAAAGTGAACGGAAGTGATTTGCACGAGTTGTATTCCAACGTGATAAACTGGTGAAACAATTATCGCGAGAAAAATATGTTTGCACCTACTTTGTCATATTTTGTGTTTACATGTTACAAAGATCTGTGTTTTGATAAGAAGTATCGTTCTCGTTAATATAGGCTAATAAACTGAAAATAACCGGAAAAAACATTTATGTTCAAATTTGTAACATAATATCGGTGCAGAGGTATTCATCGTACATATTTTGCCTTTGAAATGTAACTCAAATTATTTGTCAAAAGACAAAATACTCAAATAATAACAAACTACCAAACTTTTCCAATGGATCATTGAGTTTAAATAAATGAGCTTGTATGAAAATTTTTCAATATTAAGAGTATACTAAAAAGCTCTAACGAATTTGAGTAACACTTATTCATGCATGTATTGTCTGCATCTATAGATCGACAGAAAAAAAAAGAAAAAAAAAAGAAAAGAGAAAAAAATTGGAAAAAAAGTTAATAAGAAGTCACAGCATATCACCACACGAGGTCAAAAATTTGTCGACCTCTGAACGAATTAAATATAGTATAACAAGGCGATGCGCTACTGCGGGGTGAGAGCAGATATACACGAAGTATGAAAGCGTATAGATATAGTATAGTAGTTTCAAGGCGTATATATGCGTAAACGTACGTCAGTAACAAGAATATAATGCAATGAAAAAGGTAAAAGGAAGGATGGATCAGCGTAACGAACGAACGTTAAATATACGAAAGAACGAAAAAACGAATGGATAAAAGTAATGTATAAGATAAAGTAGATAATGTACTGTTTGGTGGTGAATGATGAGATGGTGTTGAATGGCTCTATCTATGTACTCCCTAATACTCGCCGAGCTTAGGATCGGGTACTGACTGGATGAACTAGTGATCACGTCCTAGAGCTTGCGGCTTCGCCTCGCTTGCTCGTATCGCTCGTCTCGTCTCATTTCTCTGTTCTCTGTTTTCTCATTGTTTATCTACGGTATTCTCTTTATTCTCACGACACAATCATACTAAGTAGTAGCAGATAGGTACGAAGGTGGTGACGACAGAGCACTAGTAGTTTATCAGATAGATTTTTCTTTTTTTCATTCTCTTTCTCATAGTTGCGGTAATAAAAGTAGAATAGTTAGATCTAGCAGGTAACATTGCAGAGCGTAGTATGAATATCTCTTTTTTTCTTTCTTTCGATAATGGTAACAGAGCGTTGTCTCAGTAGAACTGCTAGCTAATATTTATATTTATTTTATATATATATAATAGTTTTTATGTATATATATATATATATATATATATATATATATATATATATATATATATATATATATATATATATATATATATATATATATAATGTATATTTATATATAGTACAGTATAACAATGTGGAGCGGAGACTGGTTTCGTGTCCACCGCACGTGTATAATGTATATATAGTATGTATATATATATATATATAGATATATATATATATAATCTGATAAAAATTCTGATAGTCGGGCGGCCTGTACGCTTTCTCATTCTTAATCTCTTTGGTTTTTTTTGTTATTATTTTTCTGTTTCTCTCAGAGTGACTTAGCGGATGTTGGGCTTACTGTTCCGCCTCTCAATGATAAAAACGCTGTCGTAATCCCGATCGAGATGGAGTGTATGATGATCACGATCACGATTCGGGGGTACCGGCGGCTGTTCGTGGACCGGCTCCGAGGTGGCAGTGGTAGCGGGGGTTACTTGCGTAGGAATTGGTTGATGAAGAGGTTGTGGTGGTTGCGGATTCAACGGGCTGCCACGGGTCAGCGTCGACACTGACTCGCCGCAAGCATTTAAGTTTGTCGACCTACGGAAAACACAAGAGGACAACTATGACACCGCCAGCAGTGTCAGAATCTAACGCTTCTATTCTTTTCTTTCTTCTTTTCTCATAATAACTTTGACTCGACAACTAACTTTTTTACACTGCTGCGATTCACGAGTAGAGTCGGAATTCGAAGCACCAGGCTTTCTTTAAAATCTACGACTGCGTCACATTTTTACTGCGGACATTTCATTCCAACTGTATTTCACAACTACTTTTCATAAACATTTCCAACCTCTTTACAATTTCAATATAACTTTTTTCAATTACAACTTTATAGATTAGACAAATTATTCCGACCCTACTCGACTGACGTTAAAATATCTTTGGAATTTTAAATGCAATTAGCATGATCAATTGATATTGTTTTTATTAATGATTTTGATTGCCCAATCAGAATAAAATATGTGAAAGTACTTCATGAAACTGTATTTATGTTTGTGATGCATCATTTTGTTTCTTTTGTGAAAATCAGGATATCGTTACTTGAAATTTTTAACTTTATCCAAATTGCACAATCAAAACAGTTGTACAATCTGAACCGTACAGCCCGTTCTGGATATTTTGCGTACAAAAGATGTGAAGATCGATGTAAATTGCGCGAAAAGCCGAATTATCTGTTGGTAACTTTTGTGGATGATCGTAGCATTCGGAGTCGAAATACTCTACGTGCTCGCTGCGAGGACGAAGGAGCGTGATAATATGAGAGGATGTGCACAGGAATCCTTCGACCTCGTGTGCACGTTGGCAAATTTCAATTGTCGATAAAACTTCTTAAGACCCAGGCAATAAGACTAAAGAGACAAAGTATGGTGAACAAAATTGTGAACGAAGTCACAAAGAGGCAACGCTGCCAAATTGTAGTAGATCAAAACATTTCGAAGATGTAGCGAAAGCAACAACGTTGTACTGGCTCTTAAGAAGATGAAATGAAATAAAATAAACTAAGGACTTGTTCCGTTCTGTAAGGAAAGTCACGACGTTTGAATGAAAATAAATGTAGAAATAAAAACAATGACGTAATCCAGAATAGGCATCACTGCAGTCGTATTGTGGACTTTTGGATGCCGTGATAAAATTATAATTCTATACGATCTCTGTTGGATGTCATTCAATTCGAAAATACCATATCATTCAAGATATGGCACCATTCTCGGGAAGCAATGAAAGTCCGGATGGACAATGAATGCTCCGTCTTTTGTCAGTAAAATCTTAATGTAACATTGTTTTTTCACAACTTTAGTACTTTGCTACTATAAAGTGTGTTACAGATAAATACAATTTGAATTCAATATTTGAAATTGAAATCCTGCATTTTAAGAAGCACATAATTTTTTATTAATACTCACACATAAAGGTCGGTGATTTAATAATAAGTACTTGGACATGATCACATTAATACTTTTTGATACATATTTATAGCTTACTTAATTCACAAAATACACGATATTTACTATTTCTACTGTCATTTGCATCTGATTCATCTTCCTTCATGATCCATTAATTTGAATTAAATTAAAATTAGTTAAAATAAGTGTCGTCTTTGTCCATAATACCTCTGCTAGTTCGGTTATTTGTCACCTATTCTACGATTTTTTTCAGACTATGCTAATATTTTGTCATCCATGGAAGAAGATTAAAGAATATGTAAAATAATTTTTCTATGTCTAACTTTTCTTTTATGTATGGTATCGATACTCATCTCAATTATTAAGCAGTTAATTTTGAATTTCTTTTATCTTCTTTTTTCCAGTTTCCGAATTCCTTATAATATTTCAGTTCTATAGAGCGCTCGTGAATATTGAAACGAATGCTGTTGTGCTTTTATTTTCTATATTTGTTAAATATTAAACCCTACACCATAAGCTATACCCTATTATCTTTAGATACGAGAAGGTATTTGCCTTTTATAATGCTTGTTAAGAATTAGACTTTTCTGGCAATTTAAAATAAGATTATTTTGAAAAAGGAAGCTTAATTTCATCTTATATTAAAAAAGCAAACACAAACTCGTCGGTCTAATGACTGATCAGTCCTTATTTTGCAGCTGCGTACTCATTCAGAGAACGAGACTGTCAATTGTTATTTGTTACTTGTCTTTTGGCATCATTACATGGTAGGTTCAAGTTGACATGTAGAGACACTCACTTTTTCAAAGGCACTGTTCCTTGGGGCCCCTGCCCGTTTCGTGAGTCTGTTACCCGGCAGGCCACCATGTTATACGCTGAAAGCAGTTCTACAATATTAAAAGAAAAGTATATTACAAATAGGATTTACGTGTGTCTAGGATTGTGGTTCTACGTATTTTGTCAATATGTACTATGTCTCTTAATATTTATTAACATGAAAATTGATTTATACTGATATAAAATTTAGAGATTGAGGGAGTACGGTGGAACTGTTGTTTCAGACAAAAATTAACAAAAATGGTAGAGCATTACTATACCTTTTTCTTGTTTCCGTCGTTTTCTTTTATTGCAAATCTTAACAGCACAAATACTGAGAATAATCGCGACGATGAAGAAAAGAATTCCCCCAACAACTCCAGCTGTTATGGCCTTGTGTTTGACGCGCGCTGGTACAGAGTATTTTATTTGATCACTCACTCCAGCACTGTCGGTCGAATTGGCAAAGACTACGAAATAGTAAGTTCTGCCTCCAACGAGATTTTTCACTGTAAAAATATGACAAGTTTGTTTCTATTTAGACGCGTCTTTTTGACAAGTGATTTGACTGAATGTTGACTTACTTAGATAACTAGTGTCTTCAGGTCGGATTTGACCTTTGTTAAGGGTCTTCCAAGCTCCATCCGTTTTGAAGTTTATAGTGTAAAATTTAACAAGATGGCTTTTCTCAGCAGGAGGCATCCAAGATATGAGAAACCCATTGCTCAGCTCGGTCACAGACACATTTCTTGGCGGTCCTGGTCTCGGCCCTAAGACAATAACATCGTTGTTAGAATCGCAAAATCTACTATTGTTTCAATCAATTAACAATACATACTGTCATCGGGGGTAACTTTCTCCTTCAAAGGTAACTCTAGCCCACCTGCAAAAGATATCACTTAGTGTCATATTTGCTTAACGAAAATAAAAATGAATAATTACAAATCAATCATCGCATTTATCATTTCATTAAGCAATTATAACGTAAACGAGCGCTTTTTACGTATGGGCTATGGTTACTCTTGAGGATAAATAAGTGACACCCTAAATGATGATATCTATGAATGAATCAATTTATTTTCAATTTGGAGTCTTATTCTTTTTTATATGAGAAGATCGTTTTATGATAATTTATTAAAATGTGATCAATTAAATTTAAAAACTTATCTTTCACATAATGATCAATTATTAAAGTGAAAATCAGTGATAATTGAAAATTTCGTCATTCTTATTTTATTTTTTATTTTAACATATATATTATCCAAATTATATTTTAATCCTTAAATTTATTTAATGTTTCATAAAATATCACCGAATGATATTTCTGAATTGAGCATGTACGTAACATTAACAAAGTTGAAAAACGAAAGTCAGAAAACTGGGTCATGTGAAGTGATAGTAAATAAATGACATGGTATCGAAAAGCGCATATATTGTAGAAAGAATTGAAAAGTTATCATGCGTTTGATACATATGGCAATAAAGATTACAAAAAATTATGTTTACTAACTGTATCTACATTTAAAAATATATTAAAAAATACATTGAAGCTATTTAGCTTACTGGCGGATGCATTAATAAAATTATTTTTCTAATGTAAAAAAGCAATACATTTTACAACCTATGTATAAGGTATAATACTATAGATGGTAACTAATTATTTTTTCATTCGACAGTTTGGATTAGAGCTTGCAACTTGCAAATATTAAATAATATTTGTTCTTTTACAACCAATATTTAAACAAACTGTTTTGAATCCTGGAAAATGTTAAACATTATCAATGTACCTTTATGCAAAAACAACAGTTAATAAGCAAATCGACACACCTTTCAATAAAGAGTATATCTTGACGACAATGGGACAATTGAACTCCATTGATTTAATAGGTAAAAGTTGACATTCAACGAAACAGCGATCACGCTTGAAATTTCCAGAGCACAACGATTGATTTTCTACCCCCCGCCTCCAAAGTCGCGCAAAATTCACCAATGGTATAGTTTCGAGCGAGTTAATTTCAGTAAAAATGCAGGCTATTTTGTTCACGTTGAGCTGAGTAGTATTTTTAAACATTATTTAAAACCAAAAGCATAGAAATACCGGTACTTAGGAAGTTTCTGTAATTTCAAATGATAACAGGTATTCCTTTGATGGGGTTCAATCAATTGCAAAAACAGTGTAAATTGCCCAATGAGTTATCAAGAGATATTTGTACGGCACTCAAATCATCTCAAATCGACACAATTTTTCGATGACATTTATTATCTGGAATGGGATTGAGTTGTATTCTTCCAAATAAAAAAAAAACTAATCTTTTTATAATAATTGTTTTCGAACGAAAAGAGAAAGTTCAAAAAAACAAATAAATACTAAAATATCAACGAATTGACAATTTGAGAAATGTGAAGCTCTTCGAATAAATAGTTTGAGATAAATACGGCTGATTTATTACGAAACAATTACGGCAAATCAAATTACCGTAAACTGGTTTTTCAACAGTGAGATAGTTTCAAAAAACATCCTGTTGACAGCTAAAATACCCGGAAGGATATTGTCAAAACTAGCGACAAAAGAAAAGTAGAGTAAAGAGAGAGAGAGTAAAAAGAGATGAGGGGAGGGAGCAAAGAGATACAGAAACGTCATTGTGTACAAATGTTGAGCAATGAAGCGACGAATTCGGAAAAAGGAAATAAAGGCGGAAGTGGAGCGAATAGTTCAATAGGTTTGCCGATACGGTACGTCGCGACGGGATATACAGAAGAAATCCTCCCGGTTTGAAAGTCGGCTAGGGTTTTTTCTAACTTTCGAACTCTGCTTCCATAACGCCTTTAAAACTGTCGCTATGCTTGCCTTGAAAATTTTACAATCTTAATTTCTACCCGAGAGTGAAAATTTTACATACTTCGTTTTTGTTATCTCCCATGTTTTTAAATATTTGCTTCGATGTTGAAATAAATATTCTTTTCGTATATCACATCACAGAAATGTCGTATTAATGATTTGCATATGCGAGCTAATATGCATAATTAAGCAGCATAAAAATGTAAGTAAAATTCAAGTATGTATTTGCCCTACTCACCAAAAAAAAGCCAATAGAAGAAAAAGCTACACTTCCATCAACTTACCACCACTTTGGTCTGCTGTAGCTGGCTGCTGATTCCGAGAATTTGAAGAAGGAGTTACTGACTTTTGTAATCCCACGTCTGCGTTAAAATTTTGTCGTTGAATAAGAACGTTTAATACAATTGCTACCGATATAAACAAATTATCTACTTTACCTAGAGTTTTCACGGTGATGACATTACTGAACATTCCTTCTCCGAGAGCATTTTTACCAACGACTCGAAATTCATGGTTGGTGCCTGATTTTAACCTGCTTATAGTAACAGTTGTACTTCCAGAAGGTGTTACTGGAATGGTCTTCCAATCTTGAGCTCCTTCTTCGCGATACCTAGAAACCGACAAAGCACGATTAGAAACAAAAATCACGTAATTTAAACTATATGAAATGATGAAAAAAGCTATCATTTCTACAAAATCTTTGATATACACATATCTATGAGTTTCTGTAAGTGCTTTCAAGGTCTTACATCTGTTTATAAATGTGATAACTGAAAATATATTTTGTATCGATAACTCGTAAAAGTTTTCCGTTCATCAAGTCTAATGCGTGTTGCTAGCGGTTAAATTTTCATTTTACCGACGGGCACTAAAATTTGAAACAATACAATAGCTTTAAGCGGTATGTTCATGCAAATTTTGCGGATAATCACCTTCAATAAAATTATGCATTAGTGTATGTGAATAGAGTAGGGCTATCAAAATAATTAATGACATGTACAGGCAGTGATGAGGTTCAAATACATTTCAAATGAGCTACGGTCGATCGGAACATGCAATCATGCATGTATATACGATAGAGGCTACGAATACGTTGCATAGCAGTTTGAATTGTATCGTATTCGATACGTCTCGATTTTGAGCAAAAGGATATCAATAGAAAGTTTAAGCTTACAATATTTTACATATTAATTATTCATACGAAAAACAATTTGCAAGAAATATTTTTGAAGAAAGCCAGGGGATGATCAAGGGACAAGAGAGGTGTCTGTACAATTATTCGAGACTTGTGCAGAGGACTTTATGCTCGTAGCGACAGTTGTTTGCAAGGAGAACTCAAAGTGTTGGTCGATCGCTTGCAACCAGATGTCGGCTAAACCTACCAGATCGTGTAATCCTGTTTGTAGTCGGGCCCGCCCGAGTAGCCAGGCAGCCAGGATAGCGTGACGGAAAACTCATCGGCAACACCGGTGAGGTTGTGCGGCGCGTGCGGCTGGGTACCTTCGACGATAAGCTGCGTGGACTTGACAATTACGGCCACTTCGTTGGCGGCCACGCACTCGTAGCCTCCGAAGTCCTGTCCCCGAAGACTGTCGATCGTCAGGTTGCCCCCGATAATTTTCGCGCGACCCTTCGGCAGCGCATCCCCGTCTTTCTGCGATCACGACAGTGCAAACGGAACTTTATCGATGTCCGCGCATGCTCCAGCTCTGTTGCAAAGCAAGGGGCCAAACGGCTAGCTTACTCTCTGCCAGGTGATGACCGGTTTTTGCGTGTCCTTGGCTTCCTGCGCGTCGCAGTGCATCTCGACGGTCTCGCCGACCTTGCGCTGGTACATTGGCAAGGGCTCGACCGTGAAGGAGGGCGGATTACGCACGAGCACCTCCATGTGTCCGGAGCTGCCTTGGGTGCCGTGGGCGTTATACGGTGTGCAGGTATATTTGCCCTGGTGGCTCTCGTTCACGCGTGTAAACAGCAGCGAGCCATTCGTCATCACCACTATATCCTTCACGTGGTACGGCTCCAGGAGCCGTTTGTCCTTCGTCCACGTGACGTATTGTAACGGCGGATTTGCCTTGATGTAGCAGTGCACGACGCCAGCCATCCGGAATGGCAGATATTGCACCGTGGGATTGAACGACACCTTCGCCGGATCTGCGAATTTCGTGAAATTTTCTCATTCTAGCACTCGTTTTTCATCGGCTGAGCACGTTACACTTAAAAATTCTCTGTGGTCCAGAACTTACACTCGACGTTGAGGAAAGCGCTGGCAGTCTGAGCCTCCCCGATACCATTAGTGACCTCGCACAGGTAGGTGCCAGTATCGTCGGCACTGACGGGGTTGATCACGAGGCTACCGTCCATCTTGATGGAAGCGCGCGTGTCGAGTTCCGAGACCTCGGAAATGAGCGACCCCTCGCGGTACCAACGGACCGTCACGTTGCCTGGCATCGCCTTCGCCTCGCACTGGAACGTCACTTTCTCGCCCTCCAGTTTCGTCGAGTTTTCCGGTGGCGACGTTATCACCGCTCCACCTGTAATTTTCCCATTTTCATTTTCATTCTGGCACCTCTTTTGGTTGATTTGATAGTCAAATAGATAGGAGCCTTAAGTCGAGTAATCTTTAAAAATGTAACGTAGAACTTTGCAAAGAAACACTAGACTGTCCCTTCGTTCGACCGGGGGGTAAATCCGAGAACTACCGACTCGGGATTCCGAAACTCCAGAGAGAAACTTTTCCAGCAGTAGCAGAGCCTGGGTCTTTCCTTTGAAAAATTCAAAGCTCTGCAAGTTACTGTTCGACCTTTCGCGCGGCTGTTATCCAACATTTTCGCGGTATAAAAATTGGAAGAGCTCTTGGTGCAAAGGATGCGCCATTAATTACGGAAAACTTTAGTACAAGTGTAAATTGAAGAGTGCATAGGAAAACGAGTCGGAAATTTTGAAGAATCCATTAGAGCGTGCGACAGGTCTCACGGTAGTATCGACTTGAAAATGGAAATGCGTAGCTCTTGAAAACAATAGCTCGGTGCAATGCCACGGAAGGCTTATAAACAGTCTAGCTGAAACTCGACACTTCTTATCCGACACTTCATCTCCCTATCGCGTGTTCGGCTTCCCATTCTCGCCCGACCGAGCATATTTTCAGCCGTCTGCTGCGCAAGAGACTTTTCAAGTGCGCTCGAGCCTGTGCAGCAGCATAAAGGCGCAGCGCAAAGTGCAACTAGCGTTCAACGGGAAAGCCAGTGAGAAGTCTTCGAGAATGAACGCACGCGCAGCCAATGGCATTCACGAGTCGCCTGCGCGTGAGCGGAAACGCCGACGCTCGCGAGATATAGACCAGCCCAAGTATGAATTTTAAATAGGCCCTGTGGTGGCGTGCAGGAGGAAGACGCTGAGCCGCGGCCCGACAAAGAGCCACCGGGAGAAAAATAGCGCTCGGATAAAAACGAACCGAGCCGGGGATAAAAAGCCAAGAGCTCAGCTCGATGATGCCTCCCTCCTTAAAGAAATCGCCGGCGCCTAGCTCAACTCGACTCACTGCTCGGAGATTGAGGGCCAATCTCCTCATTCTCTCTAGTACTCTCTTTCCAATTTTCTCTCCTTCCCGCTAGCTCGCTCTCCAGTTTCACGCTAATTCCTAAAATTGTTAACGTTGTCTTCCATTGGCCACCCGCTCTCGCAAAATATTTCTACAGCCGCTCGTTCTAGTCGAAGCGGCATGTCAGGCTAGTTAGATAGAAAACAGAACAGAAGAAAGGCGTACGCGGGAAAACAGATTGCGATATAACGCCTAAAGCTCAGGCTCTTAATTGGCTGTCACTTAACCTAACGCGAGCTTTATCGTACGAAAGAGAGTGAGCGAGCGAGCGAGAGAGAGAGAGAGAGAGAGAGAGAGAGAGATAAGGAAAAGTAATACGAGAGAGGGAGGCTAGCCGGAAGGATGGTCGACTGAATGTATCGACCTATAAATTTTACGAGAGCGCTGGAGAAAAGATGCTTTGTCCTCGAGGTGTCCATAAAATTTGTGAATTTAAAGGGGTTAAAAATCCAATACTTCGACGAGCTACCCACCTACCTTACCAGCGGTGCGGCGCGTTCGATCAGACCTTCATTCTGCACCTCGCTAGCTTTTCAATTTCCTCTTGTTTTACTACCTCTACCTCACGGCCCCTATATATCGCTAAACATATTGCAAAGAAGAAATAAAAATTCCTTCTCCCCCACCCTTCTCCCCCGACCGCTTCCAATTCTTTGTCGATCCTATTCATGGAGCGAGAATTTTTAAGCTACTGGACGATTCATTTCATACAGAATTTCGTTTTGCTTTTCGAAAATACCCGCCTTGAATCACGCTGTGATATCGAATCGCTGATGAATAATAGATAAGGGCTCATTCATTACACGGTATCACAATGGAGCGCATTGATTTTCATGCGCGTTCTCTTATTGTGCCGCGTCCATTAATAATCAATTAATTTGTAGATAATAGGGTTTTTTATTTTCTGGAAACATAACTGCAATTGCTCATTAGTCAATGGGAATCGACAGTCAATTGAAAGCGTTTGAATAATTTAGTCTGAGAACAAATGTCAAGTACTTTGAGCAATTGCTTAAATGATCGACAAGTGTAAAAACATGGATAACTGGCCTGCAATAATGACTCGAGCCGTATGACTAATCTGACCCTCTCCGTTGCGCGCGATGCAAGTGTAGTCGCCGATGTCCTCGGTCTTGATCATGGAGATCCTGAGTTCAGTACCGTCGTTCATGATCCTTATCGTGGACGACGGTTCAACAGGGTTGGCATCCTTGTACCAGAGGATTTCTGGCGTGGGCGTGCCCTCCGCTTGGCAGTTGAGGATTATCGCGTCGCCGAGGTTCACGTATATCATCTCCTCCGGGGTTATTGTAAATCTAGGCGGCGCTGCACAACCAATACACAATACATCATTATAGGAATGTAGGAGCGAATGATTCGTTAGATTATACCGTGAACGTCGAGGTGAAACCAGGTACCATTCTTGTTATTGTTGGGCGACCGATTCAGGAACACGACTTTGCATTCGTACCATCCCTGATCGCTTTCCTGTATGTTGGTCAGATTCAGACTAGCCACGCCAAAGTTGGAGTTGGAGCTGACCTTGGAGACGCGGCCCTCGTAGCCCTCTCCACTATGGGTCGGGTATGACTCGTACCATATATAAATTGGTATCTCCTGCCCCTTGCATTAACATAAACAAGCAACATAAAGGACAAATCGCCATTTACCGTATTTTCCAACTTGATACAACTTTTTGCAATTATACGCATGTTCGTATGGGAAACGTACTTGAAATCATGGCTTTGTATCAAATTGGAACACAATTTGTGCTTGATCAAATATTTATATCAATATTCTCATAATGTTATGAATGCAATGACAGTAATGCAATCAAACTCTGATATTTATCAATGATGAATTATTTTTATCGTCAAATCAATAACGCTTATGGATACGCTAACCAAATAATAATCACACTGAAATTATTTTATGTTCATTGAATGGTTAGATTACAAATGATTTTCAGGACAATTAATTCATCATTGATCTTTTATTTGAAGCAACGTGCACGAATGCAGCTAACCCGAAAATGAGCAGATGCATGAATCGATTATTATATGAAAAGATCGATAGAGGATACACCACGAAGACGACAATATTTTTTTAGTAGTACAATACCAAATAGCTAATACAGTAAGTAAGAGATAGGATTGAATACGAGTCACTGTAGCATGCAAACAGCTGTTGAAGTGTAAAGATGTCAAATCAGAAGGAAGGTGTCCCAATTTCGGTTACTCTCAGATATAGAAAAACTGTATATTTATATATTTTCTATTCAAACAGTGATTGCTCGATGAAGCATAGATTAGAGTACAGAGTTGAAATGAACGAGCATGTAAATGTTTAGATAATATTCGTCGTAGGATAGGAAAAAAACAGTTGGAAAGACGCACGTAGAGCAGGGCCTCAAGGTAAGTTTGGTTTATTACTGGCCGTTTGCGTGAAAATGCTTACAAATGCGCAAGTTAGGGGAGGTATCGGAGTTGAGAGTGAATATTCGACGAGCGTAATTTCGAGTTTCATTCCATTAACTTGCAATGCAAATCAATTCCTAACACTCGAGCATCGGCAGGATTAAAAAATTCATCGGTGAAATGTCGGCCGCACGAAACTTGACTGTTACCCTAATACTATTTCGTACTACTTTTACGGACTGCGGTAAAATGTGCCGTGAAAAAATGGTGGATCATTGGATAAAGCATAAAAGCATAGTGGATGGTGGGAGGATAAACAATTACTGCAACGGGATCGAAAGGCAAACGCGTAGGTCGAGCGTCGTTGAAAGCGCCGAATAAGCGCGCGACAAAGGAAGCCATTATCACGTGCTGTTGACCAGGTTAAAAGAGTGAATGTCGGCAGGGGACGGCGGCGAACTACGGATGAATGTGCCTCCCTCTCGCTCGCTCCTAACGCGCGGTTGCAATTGGACTGCTGCGCGCGGCATTGTCCGCGAAGGCATAAAATGATGCGCAATCGCGAGCGCCACGGCGTATTCATCGACGAAGGGCGTACGTCGCTGGCCAGTAGAGCTGCGCTCGGCACAGCTGAAATGTTTGGCGCGACGCGCGGCATCCGCGTGCACGCTTCATTTGCTCTCGGTGCTCGAATCGGCGCACAGCCCACGCTCGGCCGACTCCTAATAGCGACTCTTCGTCGGAATTTCATTGCGATCGCGACTGCCCCGTGCTGCCCTCGATCGAATATTAATTTTCTCGCCGCTCGCCCTTTCATCGTTTGCCCGTTCACTCTGCGCGTTCGTACGGAGGCAAGCCATCTCGTTGATTTCTCGGCTCTTTCGCCGATAGACAGCTTCGTTTCGCAACTCGTCAAGGCATTTACCGAGCATTTTCGAAGGGTACCGTTTTTGAGAATCGGACAACTGCGCGAGTAGGTTATATACGGATAGTCGCGGATTCTGCCAAACTTTGCAATTCCACTTTTTTTTCAACGAAATTGGACGTCTCATCAGTCGAAAATTGCGTTGAGAGATAGTTTTTACAGAAATAGAGTGAAAAAAGCAGGAAAAGCTCTTGGATACGCAAAATAAAGCCGCTAAAACGAAATTTCATGTTTTTTTGCCGAGACGATGGAAGAACGCGAAAGCAATTTCGTTTGATATGGAGTACAAACGCGTTAAAACTTTCGAAATCCAATACTGCAATTTTGCGTTTCTACTCAAACGAGAGAGAGAGAGAGAGAGAAAGCACAAACGCGTACGACTATACAAGGTTTGTCCAATTAATCTTGACGAACACGCAGCAGCTCTGTGTACGATCGTTTTTTTTTAACTTGTCCCGCTTTTCAATTTGTTAAAAAAAATCAGCAATTACAATGGGCAGGCGTAGACGGCAAGTGGAACAATAAGAAACGAGATGAATGCACAGTGGAGGTAAATATATATAGATATAGCGGGTAGTCGTAAGTTGGAGAGTCAAAATATTGAATAAATTGGAGAATAGCCGCTGCGGCGGGCGAAAACATCAAAGCACTGAGCCAAAGACAACGAAGAAGCATCGGCGAGGCTTTGTTCCTGAAAGTGTATCGCCTAGTGCACTTTGGCGTCATTACTTTACGGATCGGCGAGTTTGCGGCCGCAAGCATCCTCCGCCTCTCTCTCTCTCTCTCTCTCTCTCTCTCTCTGTTCGGTTGGAGAGCTTCATCTGGCCTGCTCCGCCGCCGCTTGACGTTCTATTTTTAAGCCAACTAGCGGGTTAACCGGCTAACGTCCAATCGATAGTCGGTCCCGCAACAGTAAAACTCTCAACTCGCTCTGCTCTTTCTCTCTCTCCCTCTGGCGGACTTTTGAAAAGTTCTCGTTAAATTAAATTCGCCGACTAGCTCTCGCGCTCGCTCCTTCTCCTCCGAGCATCTCCGGTGCCGCGCCCAATCCACTCGCCGCAGCCGCTTTATGTGTTTTTCTCTTGGACGATGGCATTTTATTTAACTTTTCTCAGGCGCTGATTCGATCCTTAGTTACTTTCTCCGACTACCGCTTTTGTTTGCTCTGGCGCAGACCCCGTCAATTACTTTTTCCCGACGCCAATCGCGAGAAAATGGAGCAGCAGACGCCTTTTCTCAAGTCGACTGAGTTGACCGGCTGCTGGACCGACGCCGCTGATTCCAGCCAATCGATGAGCTCTACTCTTCTGCGTCGTTATACATACGTTTGCTTAACATGCGCAAACATTGTTGCGGACAAATCGCTCGATCGCACGGAAGGCTGCGCGAAGGAAGGCCTGACAGCGCCTTGATTGTTTGCCCCGCCGACGTCCCGGCTGACACTACTCCCCGACTGCAGCGCTACTTGGATCGCTGCCGAGCCTCTGAAACAGCACCAGGCGACGATGCAACTGGCGCCGTTTAATGACTTTGAGAAAATGTAGTCGACGCGCGGAGGCCTTTGAAAATGCTACACAACTGAAAGGCTTTCTCAAGGGCGTTAATCTGCAGATATATAGAACTGCTCCATGCCGCGAGTGTAAAAGTAATAGCGGTCGATCTAAAAGAACATTGCGCCAGTCGGCGGTTTTAATAGCGCGAGTAATTACGCCGACAACGAGGAAGGGGCAAAAAGGCCGCCACGGTCGGCCTAATTTCTTTGAAGCGATTGCGCATGCACACGTCGCGCGCCTTTCCGGGATAATGGAACGGAAGAAGACGCGCTCGAGCGCGAGAAAACATTGTTTGAGGAAGACCTCAAAGCGCGGCGCGCCTACACTTTTTTCCAAGCGTTGTTTTCCTCCGTTCCGGCATTCCGTTAAATTACGTCGTTTCAGCTGCCGCCGGAATAGCCTCGCGAACAATTAATCCGTCGAGTGTCAGCCTTTCCGTCCCTCGCGTCCTTTTACTTTCTAGCAGCCCGGCCATTCAACTTCTCTAGCCGCCAAAACATTTGCATAGTCGAGTACAAACGTGCGCGAATGCGCCAATTTTCTCGCGCCAACTTTTCAAAGGCCGCATTAAGATTCAATATCGCACTTAGAGACAACTTGGCTGCCTTCGGATGAACTTTCCGAGCGTGCTTTCTTATTATACCTTGGCAGCTTCGAAGCTTGAGACTGTTACGTGGCTACGCGCCGTACAAGAGAGAGAGAGAAAGGGGAGGAAAGGATAGCTGCCTACGTGAAATCTGCTTCTCGATACTGCCCGCCATTCAAAAGGGGCTGCTTATGGAACGACCATACACTAGGGTCCTTTGTGCGCATACTTCTTACGTGTCTCGTTTCGTTCGATCTCCAAATGCAAGAGGAACTTTCGAAACAGAAAGCTACAGAATAAACTTCAGGACGAGTTGTCTTAGAAAGCACCCGAGATATGGGGAAATCACTGCAAACTCACTCGGTAAGATAGCAGTCGTTTGATTATTCGTCAGTTTTAAACAGGTAACGTCGATGCTTTCTTGAATAAAGAATGAGATCCGTTGATTAAAGAACAAGGCGCATATTCTGCTAAAAGCTATAGATTTTGAATAATTTGAAAGAAACTGGAAGAACAAGTGGTGAATAAATAAGGGACAGAGGGAAAGAGAGCAAGCGTGAGGCACGAAAAAAATGGGAGGAAGTCAAGTGCTTCGCGTGTGCTAACCTCGTTCGACTCCAAATAAATTAATGTTCCTGGTTGTGCTCGACTCTTTTCCTATTTCCCGTCGTCAAGTCGATCGGCTTAGAGCGGAGATTTGCATCCCGCCAGGAAATTCCACGCGAAGAATATAATTAGCTCAGTGCTCGTTCCGGAGCAAAAAGAAGAATAAAGGAGAGAAGGAGAGAGAGAGAGAGAGAGAGAGAGAGAGAGAGAGAGAGAGAAGAGCAGTCAAGCGCCGATGGGAAAGCGCGCAAAAAAGAGGACGAGTCGTTATTGCCGCGTCAGAGAGGAGAAAAAGAGATTCGCCTGTTTTCACCGGAGCTGATACTCGCTACTATCTTTGATGAGAGTCGCTTTTCGAGAACGATAATGAAGGGCTCACTCGACAAATTAAACAATTCAACTCAGGAATCGATTTTCCTTTGCACGTCTCTTCTATTTGTATTCTACGCAGTAATAGGTGTCCTAGCTTGCATTATGGTGCTCAGTTTTTCTAACATTAAATCAATAGATATCAACGACAGCTTTGAGCCGCAGAA